CCCCCGTCCCCAGGAGGCCGCAGCAGCAGATGATGTCCAAAACCCAGTGCATCGCAGATAAGACAGAGTGGGCCAAACACCCCGACGGGAATGGGAAGGCAGTCCCTCGCCGACCTCCAAGGGGAGGACCACGACTGCTAACAGCTGAAACAAGCCATAGAGCAGAGAGAACTACCCCCGTGGGCACGACAACTGCCTGGGTGCCCGCCCACCCATCGGATGCAACGGACTTGCTGGGCTCGCTCAACGCCCCTGGGCTCGGCTTGACCTGGAGATAATTCGACGGACAATTCCGACGGGACCACGAGCAGCAGCCTGAACTCCAACAATGGGGCGCCACTGCTGCTAACTCGCCTCAGTGGCTAAACGCAATCGCCCGAGGCATAGCTGGCCAGCGGACCGGTCCATCTTCGTCTACAACGACCGCTGCTTCCCGGCAGTTTCGGTCCTTGTGTTTCAGCTACAACCGCGCCACAGGTTGCCCCCGTCCCCAGGAGGCCGCAGCAGCAGATGATGTCCAAAACCCAGTGCATCCCAGATAAGACAGAGTGGGCCAAACACCCCGACGGGAATGAGAAGGCAGTCCCTCGCCGACCTCCAAGGGGAGGACCACGACTGCTAACAGCTGAAACAAGGCATAGAGCAGAGAGAACTACCCCCGTGGGCACGACAACGCGCCCCAGAGAGATGGTGTCGGCCTTGTGGTGGATGAGCAGGATGCCGCGGGGCAGTGGGAAGTCCGGGTGGACGCGTGGTCCATACAAGACGTCGTCGATAAAGTGGAATGCCTCCTGGCCCTCACCCTGGCGCACTCTGTCTTTAACCGGAAGTTTGGCAAGAAGGTCCGTCCTCTGTGCGTTTTCATACAGAGGACGGTCCTTCACATCGACGACGGAAGCAAGGTTCCGTCCAGCGTCTCAAAGCTAGCGTCTCAAAGCTATGTCACGAGCTCATGTAAAGCTCATGTAATCTCATGTAAAGTTCCAGGTAGCAACACCATCTACAGTAAACCTCACCTAGAACATGCTGTCACAGGTAGCAAAAACCTTCGGCGGTAAACGGGTAAACCAGTACCAGAAACGTGGATACCATGACCGCTGTAACGCAGCACAGCCAGATGCACAAAACGAAATTTCTGACCCCGACGCCACTTAGGCTTCTGTCACCGCGACGTGACCGGGGTCCTGCAGGAAACAAAGACGTGAGCTATAAGAAGCTAGGGAAGCAGTCGCTGCTGCTGACCTAGACGAGATTGATGAAGGCAGCTGAAGACGACCTGAGTTGGGAGCGGAGGGATAGCTCGTGAGCACCATCGCCAGGCCCAGCGTGAGGGGCCCAGGCTCTGCGCCTTTCCCGCGGGGTGCCGCCAAGCGAAGAGAAGGCGGCGGCGGCCCATCTCCTCGGACGTGGCGGTCGGTAACGTCGACAACTCTGACGGGGAGCAGACGGAGGTGGAGCGGGAGGTCGCTCAGGAGAGGATTCGAGAGAGGCAGCGTCAGCGTCGCACCGCAATGGCTGATGCAGAGCGGGAGGCGGAGCATCTGCTGGATCAAGAACGGCAGCGTCGGCGCCGTTTCGATCTCCATGAAGGAGCGCGCGGTCGAGCGGCAGCGGAACAGAGAACGGCTGCGTAGTGTTAGGCCAAAGGCAGCGTCTCCATTTGGTAGGTGTATTGGAGCTTCCACAAGCAGTAGCGGCAGCAGCAGCAGCACAGCAGCACCCGCGCGTGGCGGCTCCCCGGCTCCGAATGACCGCCCGCCCGGGGCCGTGGCGCGACCTCGCGCCGCCGCGCCGGTCGCAGTGGCGCGCTCAGCGAGAGGCCGCTCAGAGGCGCACCCAGCGGGAGGGGGCGCCACACTTTGCCCAGAACATGTACGGAAATAACCCAACACACCTCCCCCCATAAAGCTTTGGCATACAAGCTGCGAATAAAACATGCACAGCCTGAATATACACTCTTGCGTACTGTTCGCTCTTCACTTAACTAACTTAACATTTATACGTATTGCATACAATTACTGGACTGAACCGCCACGGCCGACAGTAAATGACAATTTAATCGAAGGTCCCGGCATCGACGAATCGAGTAGCATCGGGCCTCGTTAATCGGCCTCGCCACTCGGGATAGCGTCCGCTGACGCCTATAGCGCTGCCGCAGAATGCTGAGCCGCGTTGGGAGCCTCCGTCCGGACCTGCGGTTCGTCCACTGCAGCGAGCCCGTGGCCGAGTGAACAGCTGCATCAGCACGTCAGGGTCGTCTGGCGCGTGACGCGGCTCATGCCTGGCGGTATGCGAAATATCAGCGTATCAAAACACGTACAACATTTAATACATGGACAATGACTTTTTTTGTAACACTTGGATCGCATTGCAATAATCTTGAGCTCTAAAATCGATACTTAGTTAGGGTATCTCACTGGTGGCTTTGACACCCGTCCAGACTGTGTCACATATCCGACCGGTGACTGTAACGGCCGATCTATGCCTGTCTCACTGGGCACTCTTAAGAAAATGGGAGGTGGTATACTCTCCTTAGATATGATGTCGGTGTCCGGCGGCTTGTGCACCGTGTCCTCTGGCTTCCTCCCTCGTCGGTCGTATGTAGCTGGTTCTTCTGCAGCGTCGTCTCTCTTCCGCACCTTGACAGGTTTCAGGTGATTGTGATGGACATTGACTTCTTTCCCTCCTGGCATGCTGACTCTGTATGTCACTCCTTCGGCCTGATGTTCCTGCCTCTGCAAGACAGTTGCTGGTCCTTTATATCGCAAGGCTAGCTTGCGCTTGCCACCAACGTTACTGGTGTGGTCCAACAGCCATACCCTCTGACCTATCTCGTACTGTATTTCCCTCGTAGATTTCTCGTGCGTCTCCGCCATGTAACGAGCGGCCTTACCGATGTTCTCCTCGACTTTGTCAAAGGCGTGTCTAAGCTGACGCAATTTGTTTTCGACGTAAGTGTCGACAATCGACACTTTGCCTTCCACGCCAAACATTTCGTCGACTGGAAGGCGGGCCTCACGTCCGTGCACCAGGAAGAATGGCGTAAACCCGGTAACCGAGTGTTTTGACGTGTTGTAGGCGAAGGTGAGAGACGCCAAGTGATCGTCCCAGTCGGACCCGCATGGTTTCAAGAATTTTGACGACATGTCTTTGAGCGTGCGGTTAAATCGTTCTACCATACCGTCGCTCTCCGGTCGGTATGGTGACGTTCTAGTCTTCTCGATACCCAGCCGTCTACACAAGGACTGGAAGACGGCCGATTCAAATTGTCGACCTTGGTCACTATGGAGCCTTTCAGGAACGCCTTGCCGTAGAACCATGTCCAGTAAACAATCGGACACCGTCTCGGCCGTCTGGTTGGGCATGGCGTAAGTGTAGACATACTTGGTGAAGTAGTCCATCACCACCAGGGCATACCTGTTTCCGCGTACTGACATCGGCATCTCGGTAATGTCAATTGCGACTCTCTCGAATGGTCTTGAATAGGCGTCGGTACGAAGAGAGGCCTGTAACCGTGGTGTTGGTCTGCTTCGGCGCTGGCAGGCTTCACACGTTTCGCAGTGATGGAGCACGTCCTTTCCCATCCCGGGCCAGAAGAACCTGGCCGCTACTTTCTCAAGCGTGCGGTTGGTGCCCAGATGTCCTGCCGTCTTGTCGTCGTGCAGCATGCTCAGAACTGTTTCCCGATACGTGCGGGGCAGGAGAATGACTAGACAGTCTCTTTCTTGGTGTTTCAGTTTCATGACGCCTTGTTCTATCGTCAGCTGGTCGAACAATCGAGCCATTATTCTAAGGTTTCGATTTCGTTTTCGAATTTCCTTCTTCGGAGGGAGTCGTCCTGTCATCAACCACTCCTTCACCTCTCCAAGAATGGGGTCAAGGTCCTGCTCACGTCTGAGCTTTTCCGTGTTCATCGCGTCTGTCACAGCCTCGTGGTCTGCGGTCATGGCTTCTTCGACCTCAGGATGAAAATCGGCGTTCTGTCGTGACATGGCATCGGCGTTGCCATTGTCACTGCCCTTTCGGTACTGAACGTCAAAGTCGTATGTGCTGAGTTCGATTGCCCATCTGCCACGTCGTCCCGTGGCGTCTCCGTCGACATTGATCGAGCGGGGAATGTTCTTGAGCGGTTTGTGGTCCGTCATCACCGTGAACGTTGTGGCAGCCAAATATGGGCGAAAATGTCTAATAGCCCATACAATTGCCCAAAGCTCTTTATCATACGTCGGCCATCGACGTTCACTCTTGTTGAGCACCTTGCTGGCGTAGGCGATCACCCTCTCATCGCCGTTGATGGTCTCCGTCAACACCGCTCCGACTGCAGTATTGGAGGCGTCGGTTGCAACCTTGAACTCGCCCTTGCAGGTTGGCAGGGTGAGGATTGGCGCCGACGTCAGCTTCCTTTTAGTGCTTTCAAAGCTTTCCACCAGCTCTTCAGTCCATTCTACAGTACCCTTTTTCTCAGCAGCTTCTCTGATGGGTCGCACGAGGTCAGAATAGTTGGGCACAAATCGCGAGTAGTATCCTGCGAGCCCTAGAAAACTCTTCAGCTCCTCGGCTTTCTGTGGTCGAGGCCAGTGACGCACCTTCTCTATGTTTGCTGGGTCTGGCTTCACACCGTTCTTCCCCACCTTGTGTCCGAGGAATACTACCTCGTCGCGGGCTAGACAGCACTTCCTTGGCTTTAGTTTCATCCCTGCTGTCCTGATCCTTTGGAAGACCTCCTCCAGGTTCTTGAGATGATCGTCTTGATCCTTTCCGAAGACAATAATGTCGTCTATGTACACCAGGCAGCTTTTTGAGTCCATTCCAGCCAGCACTAGTTCCATCAGTCGTTGGAACGTGGCTCCAGCGTTCTTGAGTCCGAAAGGCATGGACCGGAAGTGGTGCAGGCCTCTTCCCGTGCTGAAAGCGGTTTTCTCTCGGTCTTTTTCAGCGACATCAACCTGCCAGTAACCCGAGGCCATGTCGAGGGTGGAGAACAGGCTTGCCCCCGCGAGGCTGTCGAGGCTGTCATCCACCCTCGGGAGAGGGACTGGCAGACTTTGGGTGACAGAGTTCACTGCTCGAAGATCGACGCAGAATCTGAAACTGCCGTCTTTTTTCTTGGCCAGAACGATGGGTGAGCACCAAGGGCTGGAACTCTCCTCGATTATTCCCTCTTTCAACATCTTTTCCTTTTGTCTTTCCACCTCTTCTCTTAGTTTCATTGGGATCCGTCGTGGCCTTTGTCGGATCGGAGCCGCGCCTCCAGTTTCGATGTGATGTTGTAGAAGCTTTGTTTTTCCAATGTCGGACTCTCCCGTGCTGAAGATATCCTGGTATCGTGACACAAGTTGTGTTAGCGAGGTCTTGCCACTCTCTGAAAGGGCAGTAGACTCGAGTTTGAGTTCGCTTAAGAGATCATCGAGCGTCCCTGCACTGAGTTCAGCTGAAGCCGCTGAAGAGCTCGGGACGTCGTATTTTCTTGCCATTTTTCTTGAACAGAGTACAGTGTACCGATTTCTGTGCCTGGAGGGATCGTTACTGCTTTGCCCCCGATGTTGGCGACCTGAATCGGCACGGTTGCCTCGCTCGTCACTTCTGTAACTAAACGAGGGACCCTCCACTCTTGGCTGCTCTCAACTGAGTGAGGTTCTAGAACACCCTCCCAAGTGGCTTCTTTAGTGATTTTAACGCCTCCATCTGGGATCTCGACCTCGGCCTGAACGAGGGTCTGAGACCTAGCGGGGATGGTGACTGAGGCACAAGTGACCACCCTTGCTCGTAGCGGTCGTAACTCAGAATATGTTGGTAAAGGAATCTCGACGTTCCCCACTCTGAAAACCCCTGCCCTGTCATCTAGCACTGTTTTGTGCTGGCAGCAGAAGTCTCGGCCGAGAACGACCTGGTAGATCAAGCCTGGAATGACCAACATAGGCTGGATGAACTGCGAGGTTTGTATCGAGAACGACACTTCTGCTTGTGTGTTGACCTGTATTTTCTGCCCGTTTGCCTGCGTTATTGTTCCAAAATTTCCTTTGTGGGACGCTCCTTTCTGTACAGCCGCTCGGGCGAATTCTTGTCCAATCATTGACGCATCGGCTCCGGAATCAACGAGGGCCCATACACTGCGTCCTTCGACTTCGATTTTGATCACTGAAGCGCGTTTGGGGCTTGCTTCTTGACCAGGCACTGCTGTAGTGTTCCCAACAGCGCCAGAATTATCGCGTGCGGGGCTCGAGGGAGCGATGCCCCCTGCTGCGACTGGCGTTCTCCAGCATTCGTGAAGCGCGTGGCCGTGCCTTCCGCAACCGTGGCAGGAAATACCGGGCGGAATCGCGCTCGGTGCTGCCCTCGGGGCAAAGGACCGTGTTGTCCGTTTCTGTCGGTTTGAAAACCGCGGACAATCGCGTTTGAAATGGGCGGTATCGCCACACAGGTAACAAACGCCTCGTTTACTGTCGGTTGGTTTGCAGTGCTCGGTCACCTGGACTTTCATTTCATTCAACTCACTCCGGAGTTCTCCAAGGATGGTCAGAATATCTGGTGCCTGTCCATCCTCAATGGGTTGCGTTTCTTTAGCCGAAATTGCCACCGTCGTGTCATGACCAGCGGACGCCCGCATAATGGCGAGAGTGAGGTCCTTTTCCCAAAGTCTCTGGACGACTTCCTCCGCTTTTTGAAGCGACAGCACAGTGTGGTCATTGTGCAGCTTCTCTTGAAGCTTAAGATCGCTCAGACCACACAGGAAGTGATCTAGCGCTATATGATCCACCTGTTCACCGGATAACCCCGGGTGTGCCAGATTTGTAAGTTTTCGGACGCGATCCGCGAATAACTCTATATTCTCTTCAGGCAGTTGACGGATAAGACGCAACTGAGCCCGAGCCCGTCGCGTGTCGCAACTAGATCCAAATTTCTCTTGTAGGACCCCCTTAAGTTCCCTGTAGTCGCTCCTGGCTCTTTTGTCCAAGTTCCCGCAAATGTCCAAAGCAGCACCATCCAGTAAGTCGAGCAGGGCAGCTGCTAGTTTTGCCCCCTCCAAGTCGCCAAAACGCGTCTCAAAACGGAAAATCCACGTTTCCCAATTTTCCTCCTCGCGACCGCTAAATTTTGTTGTGCTGTGAATTTTTAAGTACAGTTCACTCGCCATTTTGGGCGGTGTATGATCGACGACTAATAAATATGATCGTATCGTCCAACGATACGGTATGCAATGACCAACGGGTAATTTGAAAATCGTGTCGTGCAACGACAACGCTATATAGCCCTATGATCGTATCGCCCAACGATACGTTATGCAATGACAAAACCAGATAATTTGAAAATCGTGTCTTAAACGACCACGCTATCTGTGCTTTATGAGCTGTAGGCGCTGCCAGTGCCTCAGCGTGATTTAATATTTGCCTAACATAATCGACCTGAAATCAGCAAAATCTGGGTCGAGAACGACTGCACCTTTTCCAAATTTCAGGTCGTAGGCTAAGAGCTCATCTATCGTAAATCGATAGCATAAGAGCTGCTAAAACGGTTATTGTTTAAACAAGCATAACTCAAAAGTAGGGAGCGTAAATGAGCTTACCTTGACCGCGCCAATGTTAGGCCAAAGGCAGCGTCTCCATTTGGTAGGTGTATTGGAGCTTCCACAAGCAGTAGCGGCAGCAGCAGCAGCACAGCAGCACCCGCGCGTGGCGGCTCCCCGGCTCCGAATGACCGCCCGCCCGGGGCCGTGGCGCGACCTCGCGCCGCCGCGCCGGTCGCAGTGGCGCGCTCAGCGAGAGGCCGCTCAGAGGCGCACCATGGATAACGGCGCACCCAGCGGGAGGGGGCGCCACACTTTGCCCAGAACATGTACGGAAATAACCCAACAGTAGTGACGAGCTGATCTGCAAAAGGAGCGAGCAGCCAGGCATGCTGCCGACGCGGCGGCGGCCAGGTAGCTGACTGTGTCGCGAGGTGCGTCCTCGCGCCTGGCCGTGGAGCCGGCGACGGCCACGAACCGGGTGCGGTGACGGAGATCTTGGGCCGCTCCCGTACTCACGCCGGCCAGGCGCAGGGTCGGCACCGGCGGTACGGCGTAGGAGACCAGCGCGAATTGACGGTGGTCGGCGACGCGGTCCACTGGAACGCCTCGTTCCCGGGCGGCCTTCTCGACCGCCGCCACCGAGGCAGGCGAAACGTCTGGCGGCCCAACGTACTCGGCCGCCGTGGCGGCCGGGCGTGTCCGCAGCGGCGGATGGCGGCGCGTGAGCGCGGCATCCGTCGCCTGCGATGCCGAGGCGGTGCTAGCCGGCAGGCAGCAGGTCGCTGTCCAGAACTCGGGGCAGCGCAACACCAACTGCGAGCACTGGGGCGCACTTGGCCTCATCGTGTGAAAAGCGCGACGCAGCTTTTCATGCGATGAGAAAACACTCCATTCAAAATTGTCGTAAATGCAATCAAACGGGAATGCACAATTGAGACAATAGAAGGCTTAGAGATTTAGGCAATTAGACAATTAGACAATAGATGCTTTGAGACTTAGAGATTTTCGGCAAGATAACTCCTGTCTCCAGGCTGAGTTGAGGAGACAGCAGGCAGCAACAACTTAGCCCGGCTCATCCATAAGGTTTATCACTTACTACCTTCTGTGGAGAAGGAAATCATGCCTCCCACTCCCGACGGAGGCCCAATGTCTAGTGTTCCTTTTTTCACTGTCTGGTTTTACTTTGTATCTCGGTCGGGGTGTCTGGGGCGCCCGGCAACAAGGGACCGTCGGCTGTTGGCCGTCGGTCACCCGGTCACGTGACGGCGTCCCGACACCACATAAAAACCTATGTTCTGTGAATACACACACTCACTTCTCCTCTACCAACTGTATCGCCAACACTACCAGCGGACCACGGCTCCGACGAGGGCGGCCGAAATGGCCGGCCCATATTTGGTACCAGCGGTGGTGGTTGGTTGTCGGTGGAGGACTTTTGGCTTCAGGTGAGTTCTCTTTTAAAATTAACATTATTTGCAATTTGTGATGTTTGAGATTTGAGATTTATTCATTCGTTTATCTATGTGATTTTTTCATTATTTGCTAGGCTAACCATGTAAGATGCTACCAGGATCCAGACGGGAGTGTTGGAAATCCGGTCCCACAAGATGAAGACTTTCCCGGACACCTCCAGGCTTGTGGCGGAGGGTATCTCCTTGCCCTACTCCAAGGACATGGGCAAGGCCGCAACCCAGCGGGGGGACATTCATCTGGACAGAGCAGCCACCCCCTTGCGATCGGAGGCTCATGTCACTTCTGCACGAGGGAGAAGTAGAGATAGTGTCCTTCCAGACCTCAGTGTTCGGCCGGAGTAGCCAGAACGGCGGCTCCTTCCAGATACATTGCACCTTAGGCGACCCCATCCCCATGTGCGGAGGCATCGTGAGACCGACTCTGATGTCCTCGGTATGGGAAATTTACGGCGAAAGCTTCCTGATCCGTGGTATAGGTGGCAGCTGTGTAGAGACGGACATAGTTTACTGGCGCAGCCTTGGCGCTTTTGCCGCGGTACGGGCAATTGAATGAAAGTTGAATGGGTGCAGGGGTCAATGGGGGTGGTAAAACATGTAAAATGGTAAAACTAGACTCTGCAAAGTCGAAATGCAGTCAGGGGATTTTCACCAAGAATCGCACATATATAATCAGAGGTCAAAAAAGTATAAACTCCCAACCAAGCGATTGTGGAAGATATTGATTAGCACAATGACTAAGATGTGGAAGATCCGGGCTTGTGGCTTGATACAGCATGAATACCGTAAGCACTTTTCTTCCACAACACACTTCCACAAAGTGCTAGCGCAGAGTCATACCAAGTGTGGAAGCCAATCAGAGCACGACAGTGAAGCCACAAGCTGAAATGACGATCGCTGATTGGTCCTCTGCTGCTAATGATTGTGGAAAGAGCGTCGGCGAACACGGCGCATTCCATTCCAATAGTGAAGTTCGCTGCCAACTTAACTGCAAACTAAAAATACAAGGAATGATAATAATCTTTATAAAAATCGCGTCGCATCGTATTTTCTTGGCAAACTACCTTAAAAATAGGGAATTTTAATGTTAAATAAAAATAGAAAATGGCTTACATTCATAATCTATGAAATTAATCTATGAAAGGGTTAATAGAATAGGCAAATGGTATGCAAACTACCACACCAACTTTCACTTCATTTTCGGTCACTCGCTCGCGGCGTCCACCGGCCAGTTCAGTTTGAGCCTTCCGCCATTGCCAGTGTTTTTGCCGAGGGCCTCGATTTGTGTGCAAAGATTTGTGCTTTCATCAGCTGCTCAGTTCACTGCAGTGAAACAGTGGCGTGGTGCATTGGTGCTGGTGAAGTGTTGCAAAAACTTGTGAAGGACTAGCAATGCCGAAACAAACAGTGCCGTTCTCAAGGACCAAATTGGCTTGCGGTCTCTGTCCCTACGTTGGGAGGAGTGATTCTCTGCGCAGACATGCCAGGTCGCAGCACGGTGGACGGATGTTCGTAAAGGGCTCAGGTTTTGAACCGAGCGGCATCTTCTCATAAACAAACGAACTCCTGCCCGCGCGCCTATTCCACAATCGCCTCTTTGTCCCCAAAGATGGCGCCGACCGAGGGGCCAGCCGGCTGTGACGTCACGTGAAAACCCCCTATACACTGTACAGTACCGGAGCTGGCGGCCAGCCTCTTCACCTGCTTCGAGACGACCAAGAAAGCGCTCAGTAAGCGTGCGAGGCGCCGGCAAATATGCTTAAGAATTATCAGAGATGAGGACGGACGTGAGGGAAATAGAGCGAGAATCTGTGACCTGCGCGCCAGTATTGATGAGGATAAGAGCACCATCGAGTTTGTCAAGGCGAAGCTGGCGTTCCTGCGGTCGGAGCGGGCCGCTGGGACCACCTCCTAGCCAACATGCCGCGCGCCGCCAGCGACCCGAGCTGCCAGCCCTCACCGCGGGCCGACAGAGGCCTGGGCTGCCAGTCCCCACCGGCGGCACCAGCGGGCATCCTGTGTGATCGTTCCAACGTGGTCCCAATAACTGCACTGAAAGCCTACCTCAAACATCTATGCGGCACACCTCTCAGGCTCCGGACGCACGACCTTCCCGTGTCAGCGGCAGGCATCCGGGGGGGGGGGGGAGACTGCATGTGCCACGACAGCTTTCGGTGCCGGGCCATACTGACTGTTACTGGCCCCGGCCCCAGCGTGGTGGTGGTCATAGCGGGAGCAATGACCACGCAAAGCGCTCCTGCCGAGTTCGACCGTGGCTGAGGGACGGCCGGCCCGGCGGAGCTGCAGCTAAATCTCGCTAGTGGCCGCTTACCGGCGGCCGCCGTGGCGCAGTCGCCGCTCCTGTCGCCGGGGCCGCTGCTCGCCGCGGACAGCGCGGAGCTGAGGGAGGAACAACCAGCAGGTGGCAGCCTCTCAGCCCGCGCTGCTGTCCCCCCAGCCATTGCAGGTCTTATCGCCGGTCACCAATATGTGCACCTTTCCACGCTCCTCGACGAGTCCCCAGATCTACCCTCCAACTCGGCCGACCCGGGTTTTCTCAGCCCAGTGGACGGCCGCCTGCGCCCTATACTACCACCTTTCGGGGCATAGGCTACAACTATCTTGCGGTACCTACGCCGCGGTGTACCACCATCACCCAAAGCGCATGACTTGGGCTAAATGTTTCCAATACATAGATTCGTACCCACCAGTCATGGCTTTGCGAGCGCAGCAGGACGGAGAAAAGCATAAATATCTTAACCCGCGCCCCACTGGGGTCTGCGTATAACACGCCCTACTGGGGGGGGGGGGGGGCTATTCATAGCCCCCCCTCCTAACTCCGAAACTACTGGGCCGATCGTCAAAATTCAAACGGCGTCTGATAGCCCCGGAAAAACTGTCGAGCGAAACCTAATTTCATTGACCTCGAGGTCACCGATGACGTCACAGGTCAGGTCAAAGTAAAAATTATTAGCATTTTGACTTCTTCACGTTTTGGGCTCTGGCCGCCGTCTTACAAGTCAGATCAGGCTCATTTTTGGTTCACACACTCGTAAACAGATGCTCTAGATACTCTGAGGGTACCAAACTTGTACTTTGATTTTCAGGTCAAGGTCAGGTCATCATAGGTCACGAAAATATTATATCATCCGTCGGCCACGTGACACATGTTTTATGGTCCATTTAGGCCAAACATTTCGAATTTGATGTCGTCTGTGTCATTCGAGGTCATTTTGAGTCAAATTTAGCTTAGGTCAGGTCACTTTCAGGTAAAAAAAGGTTAAATTTTGAAGTTAAAATTTTTCAACAAAAAAGGCGTCTATTCGATGCAGTTTGAGCTCAGGAACACGATGGTGCTATTTATATTGGCGTACGATGTCAAATTCGTGCTAAAAAATTGATTTGAAAAATTAATAATTGTTAATTTTTTGCAATAATGCGTATAACTTGGCCATTTTTGAAGATATTTAGCTAAAACTTGCTAGAGGTAGTCATAATGATGCTTTCTATCAAATATATTCCGGTTTTTGCGAAAAGTCAAAAACTTTTTGAAAAAAAAATGTAAAAATATAAATTTTGAATTTTATTATATAAAATTTTCGAAATTTTCAAAATTTCGAAAATCCGAGATAGCAGTTTGATAGCGCAGTCTATTCTGAGTCCTCTCATGCAAAGAAATTGGATCTAGCTTAAAAACTGAGCTCTTGGAAGCGATTGCCGTGGTTCAATGTTTTGCGTCGAAATCGGCCGAACATGACGTCACTCTGACGTCATTTCCGGCCGACCTATGGTAGGTACGAAGTTCAAATTTTGACACAAGGTGTCAAATTGATGCAGCCGAAGGTACTGAAAGTTTGGCGTCGATACCTCAAGCGGTTTGGAAGTTATTGCAGAAAAACGGGAGGGGGGGCTATAAATAGACCCCCCCCCCCAGTGGGGCGCGGGTTAATCTTAGCCTTTTGGCTAAGATTAGGTTTAAGTTTAGCGCTATGTGGCGTGGCGTGCCCTCGACCCCGGCGCCCGTCTGCTGACTCTGGCATACAACGTGTGCAAGAGCCACCGGCGGGTGCCGGGCGAGTGGGGCAAGAGCAGCACGGTGCTGATCCACAAGGGGGACGGCGCCGATGAACCGTCGTTCTGGCGACCCATCGCCGATCAGCACGATCGCCAAGGTGTACGCCGGTCTGTGGGCCGACCGGCTCTCCCGTTGGGCGGAAGAGGAAGACCTCCTTTCCCCCAGAGCAGCTTCAGTTCGTGGATTATTCGAACACTTGATTACGATGCTCGAGGACTACAAAGAGCGTCAAAATGAGATCCGCGAAACACAGCAGGTCCATGGCGCCCTGCTGCACAGCATCCTGCGGCGGTTAAACGGCGGCGGCAGCGTCCCAGCCACGGCGGGAAGACTGCCGAGCGGAGCTGCCGGCCTGCCTCTGACCTCGATGGACGAGTTCAGAAGCCTTGAAGAGAGGCTGGGTGCGGACGAAGAGTTCGTCCAAGCCATGGTAAGTAAAAAAGGACAGTTTTTTTTTTTCAAACGGAACATAAAGCATATATCACACGACACTTTCATATTGTGACCCTCAGTGAGCTGACCTGAGGCCAGTTTCACCAACAAAAAATAGACGGCTGCGATTATTTTTTGACAAAACGATAGTCTCAAAATGCCATTTACTGCTGAAGATACTAATCGCTGACTTGAAAAATGTAACAGCTTAGCTTTCAAGTGCTATATAATTTGGTCAGCAATTACTTTTTTCATCTGTTAATAGGATTTATAGATTAATAGGATTAATAGGATTAATAGGTTTTGTAAAAAAAAAATAATCGCAACCGTCTATTTTTTGTTGGTGAAACTGGCCACTGGTGGAAGTGACCTTAAATAGCAAAATATTGTTTGACGAACAAGTCTCCGTCGATGATTTTCAATAACATGTAACGATTTTACAACACATTTCTTGAAATGCCTGTAAAAGGTGAAAATGCGACCTTTGACCTGACCTGTGACGACATCGGTTTGACCGAGGTCAATGAAATTGGGTCACAAGGTAGTTCCCCGGTGGGGCTATCGAACGCTGTTTAAATCTTGAAAGTCGGCCGGTAACTTTCCGAGATCGGGGGGGGGGGCTAAAGGCCCCCCCCCCCTCTACGGGTGGTAGGGTCCGCTGATAGACCTACGGGGCGCGGGTTAAGTTATCGGTTAGCCCTCCCATTACGTTAATCACACGAGGTCTGATTTCACAGGTGCTGTACCTGGGCGACAAAGGCGGCAGCACCGTTGGCGAGTGTGTCCGCCGCGTCATGGCCCAACTGATGAGGAGCGGCCTTGGGCAGCGCTTTAACATGAATGGGGCCCAGCGTCATGGAAAGACGGGCTTTAGAACAACGAAGCTCTACACTGTCGTCTACAGTAAGCATATCTTCTAACCCGTTTTCTGAATACATTTCTATCGTGATGCTCATTTTATGGACAATGAAGTAGACAATTGTTTTTCTTTAATTGCCTCATTAAAAGCATTACCTCACCAGTTTTGCTTTGATCACAGCATTAAGTTCTCGCTTCCTTTTGCTTCAACTGCGTTTATCTGAATTACTAGAAGCAACGCACGACTCTACCGCCAGCAAGACGCCTTTCTGGGCGACAAACTAGCGAGTGCGTCAGTTTCTTATTCTACATCTCGTGTGTTTGGGCTATATAGGGCTATGTGTGTTTGGGTGGCAGAAAGAGAATCTGAGGCTGGAAGATCAGCTCATGCTGATGTTGTATAAGCTGCGTCACAACCCGATGAATTTAGATCTGGCGGTGAGGTTGGGTGTCTCAGAGACATGTGTCAGCACTGTATTCGGCACTACGGTGTCTGTAGTGCACCAAATCCTGGGTGCGTTGCATTGTGGTGCAATGCAACCCGTGAGGAAGAATCAAACTTCGACCCCTGAGTGTTTTTCGAAATTTCATGACACCAGGGCCACCCTAGATTGCACGGAAATAGAATGTGACGTACCGAGACGGGACATGACGTGCTAAGGCCGTCGTGCCGAGGCTAAAGGACATGCAAAACATGAACTGTGAGTGTTGAGGTGTGTGTTCGCCCCTGCCTTACCCCATCCGGGCTAACCCGTGTCTGGCCACTCAGCATACGCTGAGTCTTGCAAGAGTCTTAAACAAAACATGCAAGAGTCAACAAGGGCCGGAAGCTGCTTCCAAGAGATGACCAAGAGCCAGAACCGGGCGACCAACTCGAACATATAGCATTCCGCAGTGGCATCACGCTCTGTCTCACTTCTCCAAGCAGAAGAAGCTCGTTCTGGCGCTATCGACGCAGCATACGGCGCCGTTTATTGACGCGGAAACCGGTAAGCCAGAAATCATGCTGTACTACAGGGTGGGGCAGAAAGATTTACCTCTTGATTTTCTTAAATATTTCGGCCCCGAACAAAGATATCAAATTGATTTCTGGCACATATTTGCAGTAACATGTACACATCTCAGCGACGGCATAATGACTCAATATGGTCACCTTTGTCCTTCACCACTGCTTCGAATCGTCCCTCTGCGGAGGGGCACGAGCGCCGCACTGTGTCCCCGCCAAGATTCGACGGTGCCGTCTCGAGGGCCAGCTTCAGGGCGGCGATTCTGCTGTGTGGCGCTGCACACACCCTCCTCTCTCAGATGGCCCAGATTGCGAAGTCCATCGGGTTCAGGTCTGGACTTGATGATGGCCGAATGTCTTTGTCCCAGAACCCAGGCATGTGGGTCTTCCACCACGGTTGAGCGATGTTGGCCGTTTGCGGCGGCGCACCGTCCTGGACGAAGACGTATCCGTCTCAGAACGACTGAGTGACCCAAGACAAAGCATGTTCCTCCAGCAGATGGACTTGAACCTCTGAATTCACTTTCACAGCCTCCTTGATGAAGACCAAGGCTCCTTTTGAGCCGTCGGATGCGACGGTAGCCCAAACCATGACACCAGCAGGCTTCAAGCAACAAAAAATGGTGCGAATAGCAGGATCAATGCTGGATGGACCATCTGCCAAAATGTTGACGCTTTGGGAGTGTCTCTGGGGCTCAGGCATGAACATGTTGTCATTGGACCAGCAGAATGCCTTGTTACCGGCGCTCCTGATCTCCTCCAATGTCTTTTGGATCCTGTGTAGCCGGTTTTCTCTGGATGCCGCCGAAATTAGGTGTCGACGTTGCATCCTGTATGACATAAAGCCTAAGCCGTCGTTTATGATTCTCTTGGCGGTTCTGGGCTAAACAGAGAGTTCCCTTGGCAGTTTGCGCATGCTTCGCCTAGGAATTGAAACACCTTCTTGTGCACGATATAAACTAGCTTTTTGAAGCGGAAATCCCTTGTTCTGCCTGGCATGTGCTTCGACGACACTAACACTGTCTTTTTAAGTCATTTAATTATACTGCAAACAGTTTTTACGGCAACACCGAGCTGTTTGGCAACGCTTCGGGAGCTGTGGCCAACCTACTTCAGCGCCGCAATTTGGGCTCACTTAGTCATCTTCGCCATAGCTCACCAACAACTATTACAAAAGGTAAAAACGATCTTAAAGTTGATACATGAGTCAGTTGGGAAGCTGCATGTAAAATTTTATCAAAATCCGTTCATAACTTTTTAAGCAATGGACTGAAAACAAACAGGTAAATCTTTTTGCCCCACCCTGTACAACGCAACAATAGGCGGAGTCAACGTGATCGACGCCACGATCGAGCGCTACATTGGAAAGCCGCCGCTACGCCGCGGGCCCACGGCGGTATTCTTCATATTGAGCCTGGGGCAAGTGAATACCACAATCATCCTGCTGTTGAGCCGTGGACAAGGTGCGACGGAGGTCTCATATTCTGCGTGCTTGCAACAACTAAATTATCTAAGTTCAGTCTAATTTTCATTTCAATAAACATTTGTTGTCAGTTTTAGAATAATAATCGACGACCGTTTCGCCCGTGGGCGACTCAAAGAGGTTACCATCGAGGTTACCACCACCGAGTTACTTGGAAGAAGTTGATAGGGCTAGCCTTGATTACGAGTCGATAACATTTATTTTTGCTCAGATCGAGGGAACTCCGACCCTGGTGGTATTCTACACAGGTGTTCCTACTGAAGCTTTTCAATTACTGGTTAAGTGTTTGGAAAAGGCAGACATCCAGTATGTGTCTGGGTGGAAGGTAGAGAATCTGAAGCTGGAAGATCAGCTCTTGCTGATGTTGTATAAGCTGCGTCACAACCCGATGAACTTAGATCTGGCGGTGAGGTTTGGTGTCTCAGAGACATGTGTCGCTACTCGCTACTGCATTCCGCACTATGAATGGTGTCTGTAGTGCACCTAATCCTGGGTGCGTTGCATTGTGGCGGAATGCAACCCGTGAGGAAGAATCAAACTTCGACCCCTGAGTATTTTTCGAAATTTCAGGGCACCAGGGTCATTCTCGATTGCACGGAAATAGAATGTGACGTACCGAGACGGGACATGACGTGCTGAAGCCGTCGTGCCGAGGCTAACGGACATGCGAAACATTGAGGTGTGAAAGCTGGCATGGCCTGCTTCAGATACCCGCCGGTCAATAGTGTTGACATCGAGAGGTCGTTTTTCCTATACCGCGATACCGGATAAAAGACGACGCTTCACAAAGAAAATATATCGCATATTATGGTCTCCAAGCCGTTCTTTATACGATCGGCCTATCCAGAATGATGCGTGAGCAATTGTCAGGGAAAAAGGAAGTTTCAAGTCGCATAAAACAGCCGGATTACGCAGATTGATGTGTGCTCCAATTAACATATTTTGAGGATTTGGCAACATATTTTCCCATAATTTCAAACATAAAATGGCATATTTCGGCAAAAAAAAAATCCACAGAAAAATCATATCCAGTCATCAGGACGTCCTGGTCCTTCAACGTGTTCAGCGCATTGTGACGTCATCTGCCAAGGCGGAGCGGTTCCCGTTGAAGGAATGTAAATTTCATCCGAGCTAACCCATACGTGGCCTTTCAGCACCGGGGTGCGAGGCGGCCTGCGAGGGGCAGGGCCGACGAGAACAATTTGTGGTCTTCTTTGTGTGTTTTTTTTGGGGGGGGGGGCGGGGGGACTATCGGCGCTTCCGGCGCTTGAGTGTTTACTGTTTGAATTTTTGCGAACTTGGACATGCTTTCGCAAAAAGCAAAGGAGTCTTGTTTTCTGGGAAATTATGCGAAAGGAAATCAGGAGGTCGACTCAAGATAGCCCAGAAACGACTATTTTTCCTAGAAATGCGTTAAATAATAAAACTAACATGTTTTTAAGATCCTATGACGGCATACCATATATAACGTCATTAGTCCAAGGATTTGGAAGCATCTGAATTAAAAGGATCGTGGATTTTCTCTATCACACAGGGAATGTTTTGTAACGGAGACCCAAGGCGTCACAAATGACAACCGTTTCCATGTGACCATTCCTATGTCCATTATCCTATGCGGCAGTCGGATGGCTTTATGCCTTTAAGCCACCCGAACCACTACGAGGCGAAAAACGACGCAGACTCGTGGATACCATCCCGGCCATGCGTAACTACTTCTAAATGCGAAAGCGTACTACACTACTGAAGCTGAAAGCCACATTAAGATATCACAATAAATGATCACTCCCTCCCCTGCCATAATCAATAGGCACTTCATTGAAAGCATCCTCTAGAATCAACCCCGACCTCGATCCAAAGTGAAAATCTATCACTAATAAATGCGGAGACACCAGAGACTAGCTGGTGGGAAGTGCCAATGTTGGCGCAGCAGTCGCAGGGGTGTCAGCGTACATACACTTGGCTCTGGTCGCACTGGTACCGGTCGTGGGAGCCCTTGTCGTGGCAGACGATGTGCACCAGCCGCAGGTTGTCGGTGGTAAAGAGCAGTCGGTAGAAGTAGCGCCAGTTGACCCGGCGCCGGCCGGCCCCCCGCGCGGCCTTCACCATGTCGGGCAGGATGGTCCGAGAGCGCTCGATTCTGCCGAGAGACGACAGAAAGTTCAGGTCGGGGCTATGGATGGAAGGACGGTATTAACCCGCGCCGGGCCGGGGGTGTTTGAACGCCCCCTTGCGTATTTTCGCAGATCTCAAAAACGGCGACGCTCTGCGCCGCCGTTTTTGGCACACCTGTTCATGCATCTTTTCCGCACACGTAAAAATTTCAGAGCCAGGGCTCTCAAGGTCAGGTCACCAAGCCACGTCAAGTGACCTCACCTTAGAAAAAAAAACTCAATCCTCGCCATAGCTACACCGACTGAACGATCGCCTTGAAACTTTCAGCGATTGCTAAGAGTAACAGTATGTACAAAATGTTTTATCGGAAAATTTCAAGCCAGGACTCTCAGGACACCACGAGTAGTGGCATTAAAGCAGTCGTAGTTAAAGTTGTGAATAATGAGTCTTTTAGCACACTGCACTGCCGTTGATCACTGAACGCGCGCGACCCACTCCAGACCAGAGCAGACTGGACGTCTGGTTCGGGTGAGGTCAGCGCCCGCTGGCCCGATTGCCTCGGGCGGCAGTCCCCTGAGCCGACCAATCAGCTGGCGGCCCGGCGTCTGACGCGGCCGGCCGCTCCTCCCTTACCCGCCTGCCCCCCCCCCCCACAAGTGGCGATAGGAAGCGAGGGGAGGTCGGCAATGGCGTTGAGACAATGATTGATTGCATATATGAGATGATTTTGCTGAATTGCAATTTCTCACGCAGTCGCAACGGAAGTGTCGTATCTAAGCGACATGAATAGCACTTCTGCTCAAGATTGCCTATAGTATAGTCACATTCAACAAAAAAAAAAAACGCCAAAATAAACAGTAGCTTACTTATCAACCAAAAAACGTCACAATACCTCCAATACATTTCCGATACGTTTTTTATATTATCTTCCCCAAACTCATAATTCAATGTTTCCTATCCCCACAGCCCAAATAAGGCACCGTCTCAATCCGCTTATCCACCGAAACTCACCTGTGGTCGAGGTTCCATGTGGAGAACACGATCCGATCCTCCCGGCTTCTGTACGGATTAATCCGGTGCTCATCATAGCCACACTGGCTCTTGGAGAACAGGCCCTGACACTCAAACTCCCCCTCATCGTCACACAGTCGACCACTCTTCAGCAGCGAGGAGCGGTCGAAGTAGTGGCCGTTGAAGCGGTCCTGCTTCAGCTGTCGCATCATCTCGTCCAGCAGCGGCTCCAGCACGGCCAGCGGCGCAGAGCGGTCTCCGCGCACCTGGTCACGCGACTTGTAGAAGTAGGTGCGCACGCGCGACTCACAGCGCCGCCGCATGTACTCCTCCTTGGTGGTCGCGCCTGTGTCCAGACCTGCCGCGAGACGGGGGGCAGTTAGGTCAAGCACTTGTTTCAGTACCGCAGTGTAATCAGTTATTGTGGTGTGACAACTGTCAATGGTAAATAAATACCACTGAATATGATGAAGATGCACCGACTCTGGTTAACCAAAACACATGAGGTCTCAGTATAGGTAACAGAGACCAACGCAAACTGACAACCAGTCATCATTAGGTTCATGTTTCGAAAGTTGCTCACTAAGTCCATAGGTACAGCGGCGTGGCTTACCCTCGAACCAGGCGGGGTCATCAGCGCGCTGACTGTGCCGACTCTGGTCCGGCCGGCCGGGCCTGGGCGGGTCAGCCCGCAGCGGACCGTCCGGCCCCCGCAGCACCTCCAGCAGCTCTTCACGCAGCTGCTGAGTGGAGGAGAGGGCTAGCAGCTTCTCCACCAGCCGCACCACTAGCGGGGAGAGAGTCAACGGTGTCAGGGAGAAGGGACAGAGAGCCAGTGCAGGCAGCTGTGACTGAGAGGCCTGGACACAAACAAAGTATGCACTGGTTGTGCCTTTGCATTTGCTGGGAACTGAATATACATACTCACCAATTTACAAGTCTGTTGTTTGGTGGCACTGACCTGGAGCTTGGTGTAGGGAATCTCCAGGCCGGAGCAGGATGACCATGCTTTGCTTCTCGAGTGTGTCAAAATAGTCGTCAGTATCTACCTGGGTGCCATCTGGAAGGCATATCTTCACACCCTTCCTACTGATCTGGAACAGTGAACAAATTGTCTTTAATCACCTGCCACTACTCAGTACACGGTCAGGAGCAGAGGCCAGAGGTACCAATTAGTGACTTAAAAAAGGAAGTCTTTGCATCGCACTACTCAACAAAGCACAGATAATCAGATGATTCTACATGATTCAGGGTGTCCCAGAAGTCTTGAAGCTTTTTTATTTTTGTCGTGTGACCTTGCTATGCCACCGATTAAGGCAAATGACGCCTCAAACGAAAGAGAATGAACTGAAATTTTGTATTTTCATGCGTAGAGCACCACTTGAGTCAGGTGGCCCCCGTTGTGAGTCGCACAAGATTGAGCACGAGAGATCACGTTCTTCGCTGCCGCCAAGATCTCCCGGTTTGCGAAACACCGGTGTCGCCATGCCCGTTTCTGGTCAGCTTCAGAGCCTTATTTCATGAAGCAAGCCAGGAAACAGAGCATTGGATCTCCGAGAAAACGTTAGCAACATAATGATTTACTGATCAGAAAGTCTCCTGACATGTTTACACGCATCCATTACGGAAATAAGGCTCAGCTGCTTGAGCACGCTAGGCAACAGCCCGTTGTAATCCTTTGATTCGTCGCATTATTATGGGGCTAAAACAAATATCAACCCGTCGCAAATATATGTCGCTAATATTATGTCGTTCGCTTCAGGGAATAAGACTCTGAAGCTGACAAGAAACGGGCATGGCGGCACCGGTGTTTCGCAAACCGGGAGATCTTGGCGGCAGCGAAGAACGTGATCTCTCGTGCTCAATCTTGTGCGACTCACAACGGGGGCCACCTGACTAATGTGGTGCTCTACGCATGAAAATACAAAATTTCAGTTCTTTCTCTTTCGTTTGAGGCATCATTTGCCTTAATCGGTGGCATAGCAAGGTCACACGACAAAAATAAAAAAGCTTCAAGACTTCTGGGACACCCTGTAATAATTGGTACCAATTAAAGAGATCATAGCGATGCATCTCCCATTCCATGACATAATGTTTGGTGGCTTGTGCTGATCCCAGTGGCAGGGACCATTCAGGATTGAACGTTGGATAAACGGTTTCTCGAAACATCAAAACTTCTGAAAAACTTCACCCACCTTGAACCTGGCGCAGGCCTTGTTGATCAGATCGCCTAGCGATCTCGCTGCGATGCCCATTGGCAATACTTTCTTGTCTCCAAACAGAATTACCTTCAGACCTTTCAGGCTTTTCTGGGAGTCTATTTCTCGAGTCTTGGACATCCCCAATCCATCTATAGTCTCCATCTGGTGATTAAACATAAGGGGCTTTTAAAATGACATCAAACCAAACAGTCGTGCATTAAGCTGTCTGGTTCCCTTTGTAGGACTGTAAAATAAACTGGGATGAAACATAAAATGAAAAATAATTACGAAAGGAAAAACATGCAGAGTGCAATGCAATACAATACAACACAAGTCGCCATCAAGGCGTCGCAATAAAGACTGTCAGCTTGCACTAAAATTCCTTCGTTCATTCGTGCATTGAGACTTCAGCGCACCGCGTGGCGCGTTACGCTGGATATAACTGTACCAAAATGTTGCCGCAATTCGCAATTTGCCATCTCTTCCGGCAATGTCGATGGTATCAAATTTTTTTCAGTCCGGACGTACCATTGATGCAGTGTTTTCAATAAACTCTTTGCATGGCTTTTTTCAACCAATATAAATGAACTTGACATAATATAACCTAACCTGACCTGTACAAGAACCAAACATGTACCTGTATGCTATAGGTACTATGTACTGTAGCCTAGTTCAATCTAATGCAGACGTTTTAGCCCTCATCTCTGGCCAGGGAGAGGGTTGATGCAACCCAGACTGGAAAATATCCATACACTACGCCGGACGCCCGTTAGACCCTGTTAAAAAAAAAAATCTGCGTGATTTGCGCAAAAATTAGGTGCCTATTTGTGCAAAAATTAAGCCCTTTTCATGTAAAGCACATGTGCACATCTACTGATCAAGGCTATATCAACCAGAGTGTTTCGGGGCCCTCTTGCTCTCTCATGTTTGAGCGTCCGAATGAGTTTTTTTTTATTTCCACGTAAACCCAAGGCTATAGAACTCGTAAACCGAATACCTCGGCGGGAGTCAGCGAGGGCCGGGCAGCGGAGCAGCACAAGATACAGCACGTGTTCCGGCACATCAGCCTCTTCTCGGCTCACGGTGCAGAGCGCCGCGCCGTACTGGAGCGAGCGGCCCCGGTGGCCCGCCCTCATCTGGTGCACCGAAATGGCATACTCTCGGTCCTCTCCGGGGATAGGGAGCGGCGGCGTGCTCCCGAGGAGTGGATTGAAGTGATTCTGAGCAGTTGTCGCGCCACTGATGCGAGGCCGCACAATGAACCGCCCTGATCGGGCGTTTGAAGGCAGGGCTGCCGCCTGTTTTGCCAGGTCGTACGCACTCTCATTCCCCTCGATACCGCAGTGGGCAGGAACCCACTGCTATTGCTTAACGACGCTTGGCGACATTCAACAAGGTTTTCCATACCTACCTATCTCTGCGCCAAAGGTTGAAGCCTCACCTGGGCGGCCGTTCCTCCGCTGAGTAGACTCACGGCGGCTCGCCAGTTCGAGCACGCGACGACCGGGACGGGGAAGTCTCGTCCCGAAACCTCTCGAGCCGCCTGCGGGGCGAATCTGCTGCTAGATTGACCAGCGTACATAGGTACCACATAAATTCTGTGACCGTCTTTCGTCAAAAAATTATGCGATCGTCCCACACCCAAAAATTTGTTCGCCGCCATGCTCTAAATTAGGCGCTTGCGAAGTTACGCCGGATGTGCGCTGAATTTTTCGGCGCAATCCCACCACTACGCCGGACATGTTCAGCATAACGTGTAGTTTTTCCAGTCTGGTAGGTACAACCCCTTAAGGTTTTAAATCTTTTTTGCCCGCTTATTTTTTATCTTCTTAATATTTTCGTCTTACCACATTTCCATGTGTTCTTTATTTACCTTTTTTGTTTCACTGTTTAAAATCGTCACCCTTCAAAAACTCACCTCTACAGTTGCAGTGAATGAATTTGGAAATGAATTGACATACAATAAATACGAACAATGACCGCCCCAAAGTATTGTAAAGATCACAAACACCGAACCAAAACAGGAAGGACGGCGTTCTATAACCCAAGGCTATAGAACTCCAGGTAAGGACACCAGCCGTTTGACCTTGAACGCCGCCGGCCGGCCGATGACGTCATTGGAGGCAAGCCGGCTCGGCGGACACATCGGGCGAATGCATAAAGGAGGGGCGTTGGAACGTTGCGGGAGCCGGAGAGATCTTCTAATGTGGTTGCATACCACCATTGTTATGCTGATTGATCTACAGACTGCAGTCTTATAAACCTCGATGCATCCTAGGCCTGGATGGTGCGTACATTCGTAGAACGATCACTCCGTCCGACGTCCATGGTCGAAGCTGTATGCATCTAGACACTAAGACGAGTGCAATAACGGCGACCCGATCCCGTCTCTGGCGAATCCAGAGGGGTCGTAACTCGTAAGGACCCAGGCCGAATCTGACCGTCTATTTTTAGGGAAACGGGGTGGGTGAATTGACAACCGATGGTTTAACCCGCGCCCTGCTGGGGGTCCTGGATTTCCACGCCCTGCTGGGGGGGGGGTGTTTGAACACCCCCCCTTGTAACTCGGCTCCTGGGCCACGTAGCGATACGCGGAAGGCGGCGTTCGAAAGAGCGTCAAAAATAATGACGAAATCACTTCGGTCAATTTTTTGGTCAGGTCAAAGGTCAGGTCACCAGAGGTCATTGAAGGCAAAATTTCGCCGATTTCCAGGTCGAATGTCGAAAATTTCCAAGAAGCCAACGCATAACTCGGGAACCAATAGAGCTACAGCGCCGCGGAAAAGCGCATTCGATAGCCCTATTAACGCCCTTTCTGAGTAATTCTCTCAGATTTGACCTAACGTCAACGGTTTTGCCTGCAGGGGGCAAAAACTGCAAAAATAGCCGATTTTTTCTAAAACAGTTTTTCTGCAATAACTTTTGACCCAAGCCTTGTACGAGCTTACTTTTACCGGCATCGTGTTCCTCTCGTCAAGACGCATCGAATTAACTATGACTTGACCTTGAAAGGTCAACTTGAAAATTTGACCTCAGGTCAAGGTCATGACCTGACCGGAAAGGGTCATGTTGCATATCAGTCGATCCGTATCGTCGAGCTGAACACATCTAAGGCGTTTTCAGCGCTCTAGCATGCCTCTATCAAAAGTTATTTGCGAAAAACTGTTAGATACCATTCGTGACCTAAGATGACCTCAGGGCATAAACAAGGGTCACGGACACCATTTTCAAGTTCAGTGTGTCTAAACCACTTGTAATTCGGTGTTTGGGAGTGTTTATAATGTCTTTCATCCAAAAGAGGCGCATTTCAATTTTCTCCCATTGACTTATAATGGGGAGGTCGCAAAATTGACCTGACCTTAGGTCATCGATATCAAAATTCTGAGATATACATTTTGTACATGCTATTGCTCTTAGCAATCGCTGAAAGTTTCAAAGCGATCGGTCACTCGGTGTAGCTATGACAGACATTGAAAGTTTTTATGAGGTGAGGTCACTTCAAGTGACCTGGTGACCTGACCTTGAATGACCTTGGTCTGAAATTTTCACAACATGTGTAGAATTGATGTATGATAAGGTGTACCAAAAACGGCTGCGCTCCGCGCCGCCGTTTTTGAGATATTCGCGAAAAACCACAAGGGGGGGGGGTGTTCAAACACCCCCCCCCCAGCAGGGCGCGGGTTAAGATGATTCGAGAAAGGATCCCATCGTCGATTGTTGTTTGACAGACAACGCATGTTGTACTGAGCGTTTAACCATCAGAGGTAATGCCTGATTACGTAGGCAAGCATAATTGGTCTGTCATATTGTTTAGGAATATAAAACCGTAATGGAAATCATTGAGGATATGATCTCTACATTACGGGAATTCACTAATTATTACGGCTCATAGGGGCACCGCCGGAGCTGTTGTTTTACCATCGGTCCCACTCCCAGGCAACTCCAGGGAGCTGCAGTACCCGGCGGCCAAAGCGGCCACCTCGTCGACTCGCAGGTCCTGTGGGATTGCGTGATGCTTCAGTGCTTCACCCACAGAAGCACGGGTCACAGCAGTAGGATGTGGGGTCAGGTGTCTGTCCGCCTTTTCATTGTAGGTACGTAGGTACGTACAACGTATGCGGCGCCTGGTCCCGCCGAAGCTCGGTATCGACCGTGACTTCATTCAGACTTATTCACAACTGGCGGATAAGGAAGCGGTCTTGGACACTGCGGGGGCTAACCTCAAAAAGGTTTTTCCGAATTAATTTAAAAAAAGAAGCTCGGATTTCGATTTCTTGCGCACTGCTGTGCAGTGTGATTAACCAACATTTCCTCAGAATAGTTGTGAAGTTTTCTTTTATTCTCGAAAAGCGATTTCGGGCGCTGCCCCGGTTGTGGCCTGTGGGGGAAGACATTTGCCCCAAATGTCTTCCCCTGGATCCGCCAGTGGGTTGCCCGACCCCGAGCTTGACTAAAAACGTCTTCAAACACCACCTGAAACCGATGGTAAGGTGAATTTAAATCCAATAACTGATCTCTGTCTGCCCGCCTAAATATACTACACATGGTACGGCACCCGGCCCTGTCGGAGCTATGATCCGATCGTGACATTTTCGGCTTTCCCCATCCCAAGCTCGATTAGAAACGTTCTCCCTCCCCACCCGATTGCTGATGTCAATTCAATACCTTATCTCTGTCCGCCCGCCCATAACCCATTCATTGCACACCGTTCAGCGCCCGGCCTCGCCAGAAGTATCCTAGCGCGCTGAGCAGTTGCCTCCAGTCGCGTCATCGCGAGGCCCCGCGCGGCCCATAACTGAATACATTGCGCGAATAGCCGTGTCGCCCCCCTGCTATAACCTTGGGAAGGACCGGAAGGACAGGAAATGTTGAGATTTGCGAAATGAAAGTCATTCAAATTTTTACAAACGGCGGCGGTGTCGGCGAAATCGAGGCAGCGACTCTTTCAGCTCTAAAGCACTGCAAAATAGCTAAAGTATTTTTCACAGGGTAGGTATGCATAATTTTTAGCCTTTTTTCAGAGTATCTATTTTTTGTTTATTTATTTTATATTTTTTACCAGTATAGTATATATATTTAAGCCTTTTTAGCACAGCTTTTTACGATTTATAATCACCGTGATTGCTACCTACCACAAGGCATAGGTATAAACTTCTTAGCAACATTTAAGTTTTTATATACCTTGCTTTTTAGTATTTAGTAGGCGAGAAACGAACGCTCCTGGCAAAGAGATGGCCTTGGAGATGGCCATCAAACCGCACGGACGAAACCACTTATCAGTCGGTGGTTTCGTGGCCGCGAAGTGCCATCACTTCTTCGGCACTTTCTGAAGCATTTCACAGTTCACACGTATGAATCTCTCATACATGTTTAGTAACAGCGTAAACACACCTGACACCATCGTTTAGCTTATATTGCTGTTGTTATATATTTGTGAGCATGGTGGAACAGATTCGGCCAAATTGGACACAGATCAGCATCATCAATCAAGGACCACCACAAGCCAAGAAAGCCTCCGCGAGCCACCGCTGAGCGCTGCGCCGAGTCCAAGAGTGACCAGCCTCAGACCGGAGCAGCACAACCGGTCACCAATCCTTTCCGGCCGCAGTACAGGTGGACGGGAGCCACTCGCTCTTCAGCCCAGCTCAGAGTATGAGTCTGGTGAGAGAGGCGTCAGATCAGTGTTACAGGACATCGGCGAGCGAGGCTACACCAGATAACCAGCAGTGGGCTGGGAGTGCGGACAGTTCGGTAGTTCATGCGCCGTGCAGCCACCGGTCACACATCCCGCTAACAGTAGCACACCGCTGCGTGTGGTCCCCTTCTGTGGTGCACCCCGCGCCGCCCAGTGAGGTGCTTGCTACTGACGCCTGCGTACAACCGGTCACTGCGATGATTGGATACAAGTCACCAAACAACAGCCGGCGAGTCTCGTGCAGCAGTGAGGTGTCTCCAGAATGGAGAAACGGGACCGATCCTGGTACCCGGGACTCTCAGCAGAGTATCAAAATCACAGGCCTTCACCCGGGCATTGTCACAGAATGTGTTGTTCCCCTGTTCACTTCAATCCAGCACAGCACGCTAATATTACACATCTCCGGCAGACCATGTCGGCCAAACAACTCACATAGAGCAGAAAGGCCGTCACAATACACTCTCAGCGTGAAAAAAGTGAACCACAGCGGCCCGCCGGTACGATCCGCTACCTCCGAAAGCATCATCCAAAGCCGATCGTTCCCAACACGCAACAATCAAAACATTGCCAGACTCCTAACCCCACCGCAAATATCACACACATTTGCCATTCACCATGCAAACAGACACACCCAACGCATCACTGCTACCCCCCCCCCCCCCCGCGCGTTCAACACAGTGCTGCGATACAAGAACATCAATAACTTCAACATAAGCGTGATAATAATACAGCCGCCAGCTCCCAATCAAGAAAAGTAGAAAAGTTACGATAACATGAGATTCATACATCGTAGTGAAAAACGAGTAAAGACAGCTCGACATTCAAAAGATCTACAAAACATAGATTCACGATACAGATTTGTTCACATTTGGTCGCCATATTTGAGCGTGAGTGTTTCATTGCAGTGAGCAATGGATCATCAGCATTTGGTCCAACGATGACAGGAGGTCGCTCCACAACGAACTCCATTTAGTTCTGGGGCCTAGAGTATGGTAGGACGGATTGGTTATGGAAGCATTCGACACGTATTTTGGCGTGATGTAAGACTAATCACGTGAGTCGTGACATATATTATAAAACTACCCTACTTATCGACTACATGATTATCTATACCATGATCTTCCTTGCAGATCCATACGTTTGAGATAAATGTGATAGAGTAAAGCCCTCACTGGCACTCGGCAAAAGCCGCAATACCAATCGCAAATACTGGTCCCTGTGAACCGTGTGTTCGTGGTTGAGAATATGCATAAACATCTGCGTCACCTAGTTTTCGATCCCACCGTCACCCCCGTCTTCATCACAGGGGTTATGCGGTGGAGATATTAATCATTCCTTCAAAATTTGACGAGCTGCTGCGATCACTGCTGCTTACAGTTGGCTCCATCTTTCCCGCGGCGCCGGCGCGCCTTCTCCATGGAGTTGGTGCGCCGCTGGCCCTGGATGGGCATATACGGCGGCGCTGGCTCGTCCTCGTCCTCCTCATACAGGTCTGCTGGCAGAGGGGCAAGGGTCGGGTCAGGTCACCAAGGGGCGCGGGAGGTCAGATCGGGAAATAGTGCAGAGGTGCGTCAGGTCGGCGAGGGACCGGGGTGGGTCGGAGACGCTATCGGTTGTGAGCGAGTTGATAATCTGACAGTAGGGAGGGGAGAAGGGGGGGGGAGTGATCTAAATAACCACCAAAAGCTCCCCGTCGGGGAATCGAACCCCGGTCTCCCGCGTGACAGGCGGGGATACTCACCACTATACTAACGAGGAGATTAACATTTCCCGGTCCTGAAAGTTTGAGGAAAATGGCTTTGAGCCGAGGCCATTGTGAACAGGCGTCACGCATGTCTTGGTAGATTCGTCAAAACGGCCACAGTCAACGTGCACAGTTAGGGAAGTTCGTAACCTAAGCACGGGACGGGTTTCCCGTTTCAGATTGGATGATGGTCAGACAGAAATATCACAACTCGCCAGTCAACTGTCGTGTGGGACAGGAGACGCATTGGTGAAGTCATGCAAGGGGAATGACTAAGGAGGATTTATCTTTAAGAACGCAAGTTCAATGACGTAAACGGCTCACGGCGATCCAACCGTTAGAAGGCAGAGTAGGCAGTAGCCAGCCATAGTTTCAGGCTAGATTGGAAAGAATAGCTGCCTATCTTTTGCAAGCGGTGAACCCGATGATTGACCCCTTTTCAGTTCCTTGGCACTTTGGCACCTGACATCTGACATGAAAGCTGAAACTTTAAGCAAAAGGGACATTCCCAAGATCTGCGATCTCCAATATCAGTTAGGTATCACACATACCGTTTACCAAGCCCTGGACGGGACAGACGATTTCATCAAACACATGAAGCTTCTCACCGTCCGTTAGGACAACTTGGCGGCATACGAAAATCTTCATTTGAAATGTTTAGGATTTAACCTCGTGTGTGATTTATCAGGATCAGGGGATTCGATTGTGGGCCATGACTGGTCTGAGTTGTTTCATGGATCAAACGAACAAATGAACAACACCATATCATCCCTTCGAAAGCGTGCTCCCATTGTATTGGCAGTTCTCGAAACACCCGTCAAGCTTGCGTAGCCCAGATAACTAGAGCACAGGTTCACGCCACGACTACACGCTAGACATGCGTACTGTCCTGCATGGCACGCTGCGGCTGCCCTGCGGCTGGTGGCGAAGATTCCACGTCAGTTGAGGCAGCCGTCGAGGCCTCGGCATTGAATTTAATGGTTGCTCCGCCCAATTCGCATAAATGCTTTGGTGGACAAACGCCTGATGTTGACTGAATCAAATTGCAAAATGATGACAGTCCAGGTGTCATTTTGCACCTGGACCGAGGCATGTGCGGGTGGCGCAACCTTGGGTTCAACGTTGGCACGGAAGCCCGGCAAAGTCCGTGAAAGTGGGTGAACGCACACTGTACCACCCGAACGGGAGCCAAAAGCTCCCCGACGGGGAATCGAACCCCGGTCTCCCGCGTGACAGGCGGGGATACTCACCACTATACTATCGAGGAGTGATATGAAGGGCCCGAAAAGTGAAAACGATCAGAGTAGCCATGTTAGGCACACCGGTTACAAGGGTGACGTCACAGGCTGGAAACGTGAGTACGAGGCAGCGACTGGTTTTCACACACCAAGTGACTGCGACGACAACGATTTAAAGGAAAAGTGCCACCTTCTTGAAATATGAAAATATCGTTGGTTTTTATTTTGACATTACTATTTTCCATTTTCTTTTCAAAACCGGTGCCAGAAGTGCATAATTCGCTAAAAAGTATTTCAAACTATTTAACATATTGGTACTATGTTTATACTCTCTACCGCAGCTACTGTATGATGTCATAGCAATGACGTCACACTCAAGCCAATCAGCCTTGAGGAGGATAGACTCGTCGGACTGTAGCGGTTGTAAACAACTTGTCGCCCCGTGTGTCTGCCCGTGGCGCTAGTTATCTGTCGGAGGTAAGGGTGAAAGATGCATATAATGGCCATGGAACGCTATTTTAGGATTATTGGTGAATAGCAAGAATATAGTTTTGGTCAGGGATGCGGAGCCGGAGCCGGAGCCGGAGCCGGAGCCGCCGGAGCCGGCATATTTTGCCCGGAGTCGGAGCCGGAGCCGGAGCCGTGAAACAATATAGCCCGGAGCCGGAGCCGGAGCCGGAGCCGTCAAAAAAGGGGGCGACTCCGGCTCCTTTTCTTAAGAGGAAACATATATAACAGTAGAACAGGAAACAATTATTTACCTATTTCGGTTTGACAGTACAAGGCGTAAAACAATGTGGTATTCAAAATAGCCTTGTTATACAAATACAGAAGCAGCGTGTACCAATCCCATCGCCTTTTTTCTTCCACCCGAATTTTATTGATCGCGTAGGGGTGTACTGAGTAGAAGCCGGAGCCGGAGCCACCGGAGCCGGAGCCGCCGGAGCCGGATCATTTTACTCGGAGCCGGAGCCGGAGCCGGAGCCGCCTTGACATTTCACCCGGAGCCGGAGCCGGAGCCGGAGCCGATTTTTTTCTCCGGAGGCGGAGCCGGAGCCGGAGCCGTCTGAAATTTCCACGGCTCCGCATCCCTGGTTTTGGTGGTTTGAAATTGTTTGTCCTCAGTGATTGGCTTGATTCTCATTTTGCGGCATAAGCGGCTGTTTGGTTACATTGCATTTTTTATGATTGTGTAATTATTATGATTATGTTCCTCCAAAGTAGGCATCACATATCAATCTCAAAGGCAGATCATCTTCTTTTCATGCCTATAATTTTCTTCAAGAATATTAATAAAAAATATTCCATTCACCCCTGCCCATCATATATCCCATGGAGCTGCTGGTGGAAGTAGGCATGCAATGTGACCTAGCATTGGCGATGTGGTTAATTAGCTTTAAAGTACTATTGAATGCTAAAGGTCATCATTTAGAATGGTTTTCAAAATATTCCACTAGGAAATATTCATTGAAACCTGAAAATTACTTACAAAATGTAAATGTATAGCCACGTCTCAAGAGCATTCAGCCGTCTTCTCAGTAAATATATAATGAAACATAATCTTACCTGACCTAGCCTTACCTACAACCTACAACGTACGGCATTGGTAAAGCTGGCATCACTGTCAGCGTATATTAGTTTGGTAGGTTGTGGGTAGGTAGGTTGTAGGTCAGTTGGTAAGGTAAGGTTAGGTTAGATTGTTTTTAAGATTCCTTTTATCTACACATTTACCGGTTAGCGCTGACGGTGACACCAGCTTTACCGATACCCAACCTACCACCTACAACCTACAACCTAAAACCTACATTCAATGTTGGCGGGTGGTGATAATTGTTATACCTATATGATAATACTGGAGATAAATACCATACAGATTAGCTGGTATCCATGACACACTTTCTTAAGAAGAAGGTCTTCTATTAAATCATGTCTATATTATAGGAATCAAATGATTTTTGTTGTAGTCACATTCCCTACTCTGACCATCATGTCTGATTATTTCCAGTTACCACTGACAATGCCCAAAACAAGAACAACAAAGGCCCAAAGGTGGCTGTTTGGTAGTGCGCAAAGCTGCTGGTAAGTGGCATCAAAGGATAGGATGTGCTTTGTTATTTCCAGGCACGTAGCCAGGATTTTGCTCAGGGGGGGGGGTCACAGGTTGTGGCCTAGTGTTGTACTCCCTCCAAAAAAGGAAAATTTTCTCGAATTAGGCCCACTATTTTGGGGGTGTGTCACAGCTGGTTTTATTTTATAAAAAAAAATCGCCATCACCGAGGGGGAAGGGGCATGAGGGCATGGCTCCCGTGCCCCTCCCCCCTCCTTGGTTACGTCCTTGGTTATTTCTGATAGTTTGGATATCACAAAGCTTTAGATATAAATTAGAATGTATTAAGAAGCTTTCAGCATTGCACCTTTCCAGACACTGATAATTCATTTGCCTTTATTGTTTCAAAAGTCAATTTTCAACACAAAAAAGTTGAAATTATTAACTCAAATAATTGCAAATATATACTTTGGTAATTTGCCTTTCGCATCACTATCAACAAAATAATCAAGGGTGACTTAATATGAAATGTTCCTGCATGATCTTCATCGTGAACAATTGTCAAGGTATGATGTTTGCGTGTTGAAATGTTATAAAGAACTTATGTCATAAAAACACAACTTGTAAAAATATTGTCTTTCCATATTATTCTGCAAGTAAGCCTTGGAAGGAAGAGACACTATTCCGTCCTACAGAATCCATTTAGAAATGTGTGACAACTGACATGTTCAGCACTTTGAGTCAGTCGGTGCCCGGACCTCAGTCGGCTGTATGATCGTCTCCTCGTCCTCTTTTGTCGGCTCCGCCCCGTGCTGTTCTATAAGGGTGTCTGACCCGCTGCCGCTATCCCCACTGTGAGGTCTGACCCGCCGCGCGCTGTCACCACTGTCGGCCCTCTGTGTGCGCGGCAGGTGGTGGTGGACGTCTCTGCCCTGACGCGCGGCGTGCGTCTGCTCAGTGTGGAGGTGCCGCTGACAGCGGTGCCGGCCGGACCGGCTGCCTCTCCGGCGGCCGACATTGAGCGCGGCACGTGTCCGCCGCCGTTCGGGCCGCTGCAGCTGCTGCAGTCGGCGGCGCAGCTGTCCGTCTCCGTGTCGCTGGCCGTGCCGCTGGACCTGCTGCCGCGGCCGGCGCCGGCGCGCTGCGCCTACGGCCGCCTGCTGGCCGTGAGCCGTCGTCTCGCAGCGCGGCCTGCAGCGCAGCGGCGTGCCGCAGCTCATCCAGCAGCTCAACGAGCCGCCCAGCCCGGCGGCGGCCGAGGGCGCCGCGCCGCGCCGGCCCGGCGACGTCAGCACACCTGGCATCAGCGGCTTCTGCCTGGCCGACCGTCAGCTGCACCTGCTGTTCGCCGAGGGGCGCGCCGACGCCGAGCTGGAACAGACGGCGGCCGCGCCGCGCGCTCTGCCGCGCCGCGACGCTCGACTCTGCCACCACTCGGGCTTGCTGTTTAGGGAGCGCCTGTACCCGCGCCAGCCGGCCGTGTTCCGCGTGCTCGAGGACCGCCCGCTACGCGCCCAGCTGCTCGACACCCGCCTCTACACGTTACAGAAACAGGAGCCGGCGCGCGCCGTCCGCGCCATCAGAGAGTGCTTCCGCACGCAGTGGCTGTCGGAAAATGAACCTGCTTCCCAACGAGGCCGGCCTGCAACAACTGCTGGCCGGCTGTTGGCCGAAAAAAAACGCTTTCAACCGGATGTCAGTTGTCAAATCAACGCGTAGTAATGCATTCACTAGGATGGGCTTACGTAAAGCTGTAGAATTGCAAATATATAATGGCACTGTTTTTTATCCGTTCGGTATGCATTGGTATCATATGATCTCTCATTCACAGACGATCAGCTGCGAAGACCCAGATCCGTAGTAGAGGGCTCATCGAGTCTGGGTCCAGCTCCCCGTACTTCCTCCACTTTGGAAACACCGCAGCGCAGACCACAGTTATACATAATATTTAGTTTTCATTCACTTCATAACCGAAGGTTGTTTGATAGGTGATATGCTGCTTGAGTTGCACCCCGGTATATCAATACGAAGCTTCCGTCCCTGCCACATACCAGTGAAGGAGGCGGCGGCGGCGGCGGCCGGGGCCGGGCTGCCCTGCCCACCGACACAGTCTGTGAAATGCCCCAACAACCTTTAAAATTCAACAGGCTTCATAAATGTTTTTTGCACCATATTTTCTCGCGTATATGAAAGCTCTAAAATGTACAATATTCCTTTCAGCCGCAAGCGATATAAAAGCTCTACAAAACGTCATGTCTCTGTGTGCAAGAAAGACACATATATTGTGTATAATCGAGCGTACATGATCTGCAGCGCTGCGGAGGGCTGCTCGGTTGCCGCTTTTTACCAGTCGGCTCTAGGTCGGACATATGGGTAAACAAAATGGAATAGTAATATTAAACAATGCTACCTGCTGATGCTACTGGGCCTCTCATTGGTGAAGAACTGGCAGCCAGCCAGCGTGTTTTTGTGAGAACTGTTTTAACAGCAGCAACCGAACGGCTCTCGGGCCAGCGACCAGTGAGCGTAGACAGCACAGCGCTCCGTTAGGCATCGGCGGGCAAGCACGCATTAGCTGTGGACGGACCGGCCGCCCGAACATATTTGTCGGTATCGAAAGTATCGTGAACCAAATGACTGCTAGCGAAAAAAGGACTGCCTCTAGTATCCATGAAAACATGTGTTCTACAAAAGTACATAATTGCTTAGTTGTCGCCAGTCACTCATTGCACCATGGCGTCAGTGTGGGGCCGCGCCCCGAATCATCTCAATCGCCAGGCAAAGCATCTCAATCGACAGGCACATGGTAGTCCAGCTACGAATCCGAGCCGCGGCATCCCGTCTATGTATCTACATTACACCACAATCGAACACTGTCGGGCCACCCGAGACAGCAGTCTCCAATGTAACATCAAAACACGCCACTCGTCTAATATCAGAAAAATGAGCATTGAGTACCTACCGAATATCGACTACAGAAGATTACAATGGGGTGCAGATCTAGCAAGAGTGTCGCGGTTCGTCTCGGCACGGCTTACAGGCCGCCGAGCCCGCGCAGGTGACCGCCAGCTCCAGCTGTTCCACCTCCGGCGCGGAAGCTCGATCACAAGACTGACCTCAGTCGGCGCTCTGTGCTCGGCACAGGGCGACCGGGTCAGGAGCGGGCCGCGGCCACCAGCCACGCGGCAGCGCCCGCCACCACCCGCTCAGCCCAGATACGCGCCACGGCGTCATTGGGGCTTCCCTGAGCAGGATCGAACCAGAGCTGCATGCACGGCTCCGTATCCGCCGTGAACTTCCACGAGTGATCCCACACCTGAAAAAGGCGCACGGTTTGCGTCACAGCTCGGCTCACTTTCATAGTCAACGCACCGGCAGCAATTAAGGGCTACTTAGATAGTGTGCTAATAGAGCGCAATCACTTAGCTTAATCCATATAGTCAACCATGAATTGTTAATTACGAGCGAGCGAGCGAAGCGAAGTCTTTTCAATATCACGGAAAAAGCTCAGTATGAGCGGCCCGACCCGGCCCGGCCTGTAACGCTTTTGAGAGGCTTATATCTCAGCAACCGCTGGACCGATTGGCCTGCGGTCTTTTTTTTGTTGGGTAGCCCTATTCCCTCTACCCCGTAATTGACTACTCTTGATACATTACAGGGACCGTCGTGGCACGTGCCACGTGAAAAGTCAAGGGTGTTATTTGTCAAAAGTTGCAAAAGAAGTGATTTTGAGAGGCTCATATCTCAGCAGCCGCTTGGGCGGTCTTGCGGTGAATTTTGTAGGGTAGCTGCACCCCTTCAACCAAAGGTCGGATGCTCTTGATCTATGTGAGTGACCCCCACTGCACGTGCAAAATGTAAAAAGAAGAGGTGCCGAATTTGTTCCCATTTCAATAACTCTGTAATTACTGGGGCGATTTAGCTGAAACTTGGCATACAGGTAGGCAGTAGGCACCCACCAGGCAATGCATTCCCATATGTTGCGGTTAGGGTGCTACTGCTTAGTGTATTATGTGTAAAATAAAGGACGCTTGAATCTTACCTGAGTGATGTCCATTTCTTGATCACTTTCATCTGTGGGTGACCGAGCAGCGACAGCAACCCAAGGCGTATACGGAATCTGTAAAAAATCAGCACACCGTTACCACATGTTTTAATAAAACTTACCTATAGGGAGGTAGCATAAAATACAGATCAAAACAATAACATACAAACATACAGATATTCGGTTAGGTTGAAATGGCTAAAAAATATAAAAAATAAGGTCAAGGTACTAGTGCTGTAAAGCTGTAAGGGCTCGGTACTAGTAATAATTTTTGGCTAAAAATATCACAAATAAAGACTCTGCACTAAAGCTGTAATGTCTGGTACTAGGAATAACTTTAGAGTGAAGTGTTACAAAAACAATATTCAAAGTCTTTTGATAACTTTTTTTTAAACAATATAGCAGGCATTTTCATCACTTTTAAAAAATACTTACATTCTGATCCGGCACAGCACTGTTCTTTAGACGCAAACGTTTTTGACTGTGCTTATCATGGTGCGCACTTCTTGTTAAGTTTAAGTGGTCATGTGGTCTTGGCTCATTGGTCATGCCACACACCCTCATCCACTTTTCTCTGTACTTCTTTTTTTTAGCGGGAACCTAAAAGTAAAAAAGGGTCAACACATGCTTAGTCCATGCAACACATACTCTGTGTATTAAGCTGAATAGCTCCACTGAGCCCAGTTTCACCAAGTGCGGTAAACTTAATTTTGGGGTAGTTTTTGTAGTTAAGTAGTGGGGTAGTTTAGTAGTTTACCCCAAATTGAGTTTACCGCACTTGGTGAAACTGGGCTCTGGTGAGTTTCCTTTTCTTGTCAGCACATAAGTGAAAGAAAACTGTGTAGACAAGAGATGAACCAAACCCCCATGGAAAGGTAGGTGTTACCACAACCAGGAAATGGGATTTGAAGGGCTGGATAAATGTGTCTGAGTTCTGCCTTTCAGCCAGACTGGAAAACATCCATACACTACGCCGGATGCCCGTGAGCCCCTCATGCGCCAAAATTTGAAGCAAGCAATTTTGAGCTGAAATTCCAGTGCATGATTTCCACTGAAAGTTGGGTGCCTGTTTGCACCAAAATTAAGCCACTTTTACATAAAGCACATGTGCATATCTACCGACCAAGGCTATATCAACCAGACAGATCGTTCCGGGGCCTCTGAGTCAGACGCTCTTCCCTTTCTGAGCGTCTGAATTAGTTAATGTTCCCATGAAAACCCAATACCACAATTTGTGTGGCACATTGTAGAATCTTAAGGTGAAACAAGGCCCAGGCCGGAAGTTCCGACTCTCTTCAGACCTGCCAGCGCCCGCAGGGCAAGTCTGCTGCTAGATTGACCACAGTGTGTCAAAAAATTCGGTGACAGCCATTTGCATAAACATTATGCGCCATGCGGTCACCCTGCGCCTAAAAATTCAGCTGCCACCATGCGCTGAATTTGACGCATGCAAAATTATGCTGGATGTGCGATGAAATTTTCGGGGCAACGCTGCAACCACGCCACTTCGCATGACATATTCGGCATAACTTGTGTTTTTTTATCCAGTCTGGCATTTCAGTTGTGAAAGCCTGAACAGTTCAAAAGGGTTTGCTAATCCAGGGGAGAGTTCTGTGAAAACAAAAGTAATAGAAGAGCCATTGCAATAAATAAGAATTTAGGTACCTACCTAGGTACCTAGGTACTTACTTGTCACAAGTTTGTGCACAGTCACACGCATATCAGTCCCGACCCCAAGGCCATATAACCCCGACCCGACGTAGGTCGTTAATTGCTCCGCGGATCACGCACTTCTTCATCGTTATAGGTATTTGTTCGAACAAAAATGCCCTGATTTCGGATCAGAGCCACGGTATAAAATATGGTATACTGCCTTGCGTAAGATAAAAATACATTTTAGCAATTGGCTACCAAACGAGATGTCATCTGTTCAGGGCATAGCATAGGTTTACTTTCATAGACCTCATGAAAGTAGCTCATGAAACTCATCACCAATCAGCGCGACGGATTTCAAGTTTCGATTGCGGATGTTCATCCGCCGGCCGATTGCCAGAACAGACAACGAAAAATAACGCAACTGCTCGTGGTCTGCTCGCTAGTACAGGGATCCGTGCCTGATCAGTACTGCTGCAAGCTGATTGGTTAAAAACCAAAGCCTCGCCGCGGGTGGCTGTATTGTCGGATAAGAACGCATTCCTGGGATAAGAACGCATTCCTGGCATATTTTCTTTTAAAATTGCCGATAACTACGAATGGAGACTGAAGTCGGCCGTAAGGGGGTGGCCAAGTAGGTTTTCGGACACGGGCTACAAGATGGCTATCTCAGTTTAAATCCCCATGTTAAAGGTGGCCCTTTTCCTTTAAGGAAAAACGGGCGGGTGGTAACACAACTAGAATCCGGTCTGCAGGCACAGGCCCCCTCAGCTGTTCCGTCGTTTCCATCTTTAGGACAGCCAAATCCTCCACGCCTCAAAGCCTTGTTCCGGGCTGGACGGGCAGCTTTATCCCATGCGTGCAGCTCCACCCCAGGAGCAGACCCGTAGCCGGGTGCAGTGGGTGTGGGTGCAGAGGGCTGGGTGGCCGCTGGCCTATCCACTGGACGGGCTCAGCCCCGACGACTCACTGAATCAGCCCGCCCAGACCAATGTCTCCCCCGAATTCCTAGCATCCTTTCAGCTCTGATGTTAGACCGAAAGACCCCCCCCCCCCAGAAAAAAACAAGGCGCACGCCACCCCGTGTGCAGAGGTCGCCTCAGTCGCGTAAGGGAACTGATAAAGCCTCAAGGCACGAACACGGTCCTTATTTAGGAGCGCCTCTGATAGCCCTCTACCTCAACTCAGTGGCTAACGCAGCACTACTGCAGAGTGCACGTTGAGCATACCAAACAGGCGTCTCAACGAGGGAAATATAACTAGGTAAGCAGTATTACAGACAAGACTCAGGCACAGCCGCGTTCGGCCGAGTTGTGTGAGGTTCTTCCCAGGATATAGCCAGTGACGAACCTGAGACCAAGTTACTAGTCCACCCTGAGAGCAATACGACAACCGGAGACCTAAATCTACCATCTAAGAACCTCAGCCCTAATAGTATATGCCGTCCGTGGAACTCATTTGGTGATAAATCCCAATTATTGCTCGAATGTCCGATTGTTCGTCAGTAAGACGATCGCCCGATCAGCTGTAGGAGCGCCCGTCTAACCATAAAAAACGATACTCGTCTCTAAGTTAACTCTCAAAACTCAGCTACAACCAGTCTCAGATCTCCGACACCAACCGGCTCAGATATCCGACACAAACCGTTTCAGATCTCAGACACCAACCGCCTCAGATTCCCCACACTAACCGTCTCAGATTCCCCACACTAACCGTCTGAGAGCCTCTCGATGGCAGTGGGCGACTGCTGGTGCTGCCGTACCGGCGCCGGCGGCGGGGGCTGCTCCGAGGGCAGCTCGCTGGCCACGCGCCGCTGGTAGGTCGGGTCGATCACCATCGCGATGTTACTGACACCTGGCGGTGACACGGAGAGGTCAGAAGTCGAGCGGGCGGCAAGTGGCGTGCCCATTACGTAGGTATTGTATTGTATTTGTATTTACATCTACAGGGTGGGGCAGAAAGATTTACCTCTTGATCTTCGAAAATATTTCGGTTCAGAACTAAGATAAATGATTTTTGGTACACGTATTCAGTAGCATGTACAGTCTGTCTCAAAAGTACCGCGCAAAGTGACAATGGATCCATCAAGCCTGACCAAGGAAGGGCCTGCTATAATTTGAAAGTTACCGAACCAATTGAGCTGGGGAATGGACGACGATGTCCATTGCTTCGATGACTCAAATTTGGCAGTCCTTCGTCGGTCAGGCTTGATGGATCCACCGTCACTTTGCGCGGTACTTTTAAGACAGACTGTACACATCTCAGCAACGGCACTTTGAACCAATATGGCCACCTTTGGTCTCCACCCCTGCCCCGAACAATGTCCCAAAATTTGTCTATTTGGGTGGGAAACGACATCCCAATGAAATTCATTTTCCACTCTCACCACCATTTTTAAGAACAATTTTCCACTCCCAAGTCCCAACCAAGAAAACATAGATTTTTTACCTATAGAAAGACAGTTGTGTGGATGCCCAGTTAGCATCAAACATTCTACACCCTAGAATAAAATGCATGCTTTTTGTCATTTCTCACTCCTTTTTGATCTAATCGAATCAGCAGTTTTCTACTCTCTCCCCTCTTTTTGGTGGGTAATTTTCCCCTCTGACACCCAAGACGAAACTCAATTTTGGGACACTGGCCCCGAAACCTCCCCCTGCGGAGAGGCGCGAGCGCCGCACGGTGTCCTCGTCGAAATTCGACCATGCCGTCTCGAGGGCCAGCTTCAGAGCGGCGATGCTGCTGTGTGGTGTTGCGCACATCTCGCTCTCCAGGATGGCCCAGGTGGTGAAGTCCATCGGGTTCAGGTCTGGACTTGATGGTGGCCACATGTCCTTGTCCCAGAATCCAGGCATGTGGGTCTTGCACCACTGTTGAGTGAAGTTGGCCGTATGAGACGACGCAACGTCCTGGACGACGACGTATCCGTCTCGGAACGACTGAGCGATCCAAGGCAGAGCATGTTCCTCTAGCAGATGGACATAAACGTGTGAACTGACTTTCACACCCGCCTCGATGAAGATCAAGGGTCCTTTTGAGCCGTCGGATGCGACGGCAGCTCAAATCATGACACCAGCAGGGTTGTGGCGACCAAAACTGGCCTGGATAGCAGGATTAATGCTGCGTGTACCATCTGCCAAGATTATGTCGCCTTGAGAGTTCATGTGGGGCTGAACCGTGGAAATCTTTTTTATCAGATCAGAGGAAGACCTTGCTACCGGCGCTTCTGATTTCCTCCAATATCTTTTGGGCCCTGTGAAGCCGCCTCTCCTTGGATGCCGCCGAAATTAGGTGTCGACGTTGCATCGTGTACGACTCAAGGCTCAAAACGTCGTTTATGATTCTTCTGATCGTTTTGGGCGAAAAATCGAGGTCCTTTGCCAGTTTGCGCATGTTTCGCCAAGGATTTCGAGACACCATCTTGTGTACGATATCAACCAGCTTTTTGGTGCGGACATGTCTTGTTCTGCCTGGGATGGGCTTCGTCGACACTGTACCTGTCCCTTTAAGGCATTTCATTATATTGTTAACAGTTTTCATGGCAACACCGAGCTGTTTTGGAACGCTTCGGACGCTGTGGCCAGCCTGCATCGGCGCCGCAATTTGGGCTCTTTTTGTAATCTCCGCCGTAGCTCATAAACAACCCCGACGGAATTAAAACCGATCAGAACAATTATACACGAGTCAGTTGGGAAGCCGTATGCAAAATCTTACTAAAATCCGTCCAAAAATTTTTGAGTAATGGGCTAAAAACAAACAGGTAAATCTTTCTGCCCCACCCTGTAAGAGCGATCCACATACAAAGTGCGTGGCGATTACTGCTCAGGACCGAGGACGCCGAGGACGTTACATAAAGTTGCAGAATGTGGGTGATACCTATGAAATATTGTTCAACGATTGCAAACGAATAAAAGACATGGCTCACCAGCTCCTTTGCGTACAAAATCCCGCCATACAATAACGTTTATCAGTCAGTCGTTCGTCAGAAAAAATACTTTACTGTTAAAGGTAAAACGAAATAACCATCACAAAAAAGCACCGTTGATTTGAAGGGAGCAGCGAGAACTGTACATAGCGCGAATAATAAACAGATTTTTGGATTGCACCAGCCATCCGCAAAATATATCTTTCAATGTTTCGACAAGTGACCCGTTACGCACCTGCTACGCTGGCCGCCGGCAGAGGCGGCAGAGGCTGCTGCTGCTGCTGGGGACTGGTCTGAGTCCTCCCCGCGCCAGAGGGACGGGATACGCCGCCCGCGCCGCCGCCGCTGCCTCTCGGTCGTCCCTCCGCCGGGCTGGGACCGGGCCGTGACCTGACCTCGGGCTGAGAGGGCGCGCCCCAGGGCCTGACCTCCGGCTGCGAGGGCGACCCCCAGGGCCTGACCTCTGGCTGCGAGGGTCCGGGCCGTGGGCGGACCTCGGGCTGGACGGCCGGCCCGGCCCGGGACCTCCCGTCGCCGGCCGCCGCCGCTGTCTGTCGGCTGCGCAGCTCGGCCGGGCTCGGCAGGGGACTGATGGCCTGTGGGGGCGGACAGCAGTCGGCATCTGCCGATCGCACCTTCATCACCGCCGTCTCAGCCGCCGAGTCAGCCGACAGGTCATCGCCCGAGCCGCCGCCGCCCGCCTGCCGCTCGCGCTGCTGCCGCTGGCGCCGCTTCTCTTTGGCGCGCTCTTTAGCGCGTCGGAGTCGTGCGCGCTCCTGTTCCTGAAGCACCTTAGCCAGCTCGCGGTCCTGCGCCTCAATGGCGGCCACCCGGTCCCGCGGTATCAGGTCGCCGCGCCGCTTGGTCTCCTGCTCCTGCAGCAGGCGCGCCACCTCCTCATCCTGCTCCTCCTGCCAGCTGCGCACGTCGTCCTCACTGAGCGGTTGTCCGGCCAGCGGCGGCGGCGCCATCAGGTCGCTCAGGTCGTCGTCAGGGTAGACGCGCTCGGCGCCCGGCGGTTCGGTGAGGCGCATCTCGCGCACGGGCGCCTCCAGGCCGAGCAGGCGCGCCTCGTGCTGCACCTGGCGCTCCTCGCGCTGCTGGCGGCGCCTCTGTCGCTCCTCCTCCTGGAGCCGGGCGGCCAGCGCGAAGTCGTCCTCCTCCTGTCGGCGGCGGCGCGACTCCTCCTCCGTCTCGGCCTGCAGGGCCAGCCGGCGCGCCACGTCCGCGTCGGCCGCGTACTGCTCGTACTTCCGCTGCTCCTCGAGCGCAGCCAGCCGCGCGGCGCGCTCGTCCTCCTTCAGCTGCTCGCTGCGCGCGCGCGGCGCGTCCACGCGCAGCACGCCGTTGCGCATCCGGTTCTGCTGGTAGTGTTCGGTGATCTCCTCGTTCTGTAGGCGGGTGGCGAGCGCTCCGTCCTCTTTGACCAGCCATTCCTGTACCACTGTCGGCAGAGACACAAGGTCAACTCCTGATGTAAGCAGTGGGCTGTTGCAATGAATACACCACATAGTATGACACTGCACACTGTCAAACTGCTTTGAATAATATGCTAAGGAGCATGAATCTAAATGAGATTCTGTGCAAAGCAGGTTTTCATACATTAGGCTTGAACAACAGCTGGTACACTGGCTTGAATTGGTTCCTAATGGTCAAGGAGATCTCCCAACTTCTAAGCAAACTGAAACCACACAATGCTCGCCAAGCTCATGTTGCCCTCAATACACTCTGCTCATCTGAATCAAAGCATACCTTCGCTGACCTTCCCTGAGCGGGGCATGGTCTCTGTCGGCATCTTGGGGTACCTCTCCATATTCAATGGCAGTTGTTTAGATTGATCTGAAATAAGGCAAATGTATGTCAGAAATTTATGTATACAACTAGCCTGTAGACTGCAGCAATTCAATTTTCATTTAAACATCAGTTTTTTCATTAAACCAAAGCAGTGTATAATACATAATCAAGCTATAACTAATTCAAGTAACTAGTACAGTAAACTCATTAAACTGAGTGCAAAACTCGTTATAAATGTTATGAAAATAGTGGTCTAAATTTGATTTTTTACAGAATCATTAGTTCACCACAAATTGCAAAAACCTATTTCAATTGATGAAGCTTAAAAGGAAAAAAGAATATTTTATGTAACTATTGGAGAATTAGGCAAGAACACTGCTGAATCAGATCACAGTGAGTATTATTCAGCAAAAACTAAAAATAAACTGGGTCAACAAAATATGATAAAAATATCAACCTTACAGTGTGATATGTCAGACTCAGCTAGCTGATCAGATTATTTAATAGGTGCTACAAGAAACAAATATGTCTTGAAGGAATCAAAGATAAATACCTGGAATGTTCTTTTTAAAGCCTGTTTAACCTAACAAACAATAGATTTAGAGCCCAAATACCATTGTTTAAAAGTGTTTTCAGGGCTTTGACTTCATTTTTTCTTAGGCTTTCCAGACTGGGCAGACAGAAGTCCAGAATTGAAATGCTTCATTCTCAACATCACAATAAGAACAGATGATTTAGAAATGTAGAAAAAGCATTGTGAAGCAATAATAATAACAATTTGCATGATCTCTCACTCTGTAATGCTCAATCTTAAACAATCTGATGCCTACAATGCTATTTTTATGCCCTTGATATGATTAACTGAGACAGCTGACTAACAATTGCAGTCACTAGCAAGTGGTAAATGTCCAGTTAAAGTCCTAAGAAGATTTCATTGGTAAATTTTTCATATTTTTACATTATTTGACATCCTGAATCCAAAAATGATACTCATATGTCTCGCAAATAAAAGAAAAAACATAATCAAACCTGACCTAACCTTACCTACTTACCTATAACCTACCAACCTACAACCTACAAACCTACCCTAACCTAACCTAACCTACAAACCTACCTACCTACAACCTAAAACCTACAAACCTACAACCTAACCTAACCTAAAACCTAAAATTTTTGCTGTTTCATATTCGTATCAACAGTGTCACAATTGTAGTTAGGACCTAAACTTGACATATACCCTAGCAAGTTGCATGTATGTACTGAAACTTCACTCATAGTTCAACTCAAAACTCTCCAAGTGAAAATTCAGAGATTCACCTCAACTACATCTTTCCTTCCTATCCAGTCCATAAGTCCAAGCATCATGCAGCGTAGGTAACCAAATCAATTCAACTTATAAAATCACGCAACAATGGTTAACGAAACGTAAAACAATTTCATTTCAATTTTGACCCTCCATTTCTAAGAGAAGCATTGAATGTTTCAACTTATTCCATGAAATGATATTTACAAATAAAAACCTCGGTCACGAGCTCAACCAGTAGGTGACAATTAAAACCACGTTTACTCTTTTTTCATCATGAAGAGGCAATAGGATGAGCGTCCACACCTGATCGCTCAAGGTTTGTTATGTCTTTAAATTTAGAACAACGATGACTAGAATATATCAAACGTAGAGGAAGAATTAACAGATCAGTCAACTATTCAAATTTATACCATAAAAAATATAAATCGCGACATACCCTGGGCATACCACAAGCCCGCACCCAAGGCTATATAAACCAGGTAGAACGCTCCGGAAAAAAAGTTGGAAACAATAAATTAGTTGCGGCATTCCCTGATGACGCGAATGTGGGTCAGCGGCCGGCGGCCGGCGCGGCGGCCGCTAACACTGTATGAGGATGAATGCACGGAACTTTTGCTTGTTGGAGATTGCACTAGGCAGTTAAATGTTTATGTTAGGATATATTTCGAAAGTAAATTGAACGACGCTTCGAACGACGTCAATGAATTTGCGATAAGACGACTATTTGTTTAGTTAGAGCCGGCGAACTTTTACCTTCCGACCGCGCGGGGAGGCGATATGGTGCCACACTGACGGTTTTTACGACAGCTCAAAATTCTTTTGAGCTAAAGAGCTGAAATTTGACATGTCCAATCTTTTGATCAAGCTGGATCTTCTGGTACAAGTCGCATATTTAAGGTACGTCAGGTTGTTGAGCTATGTTGTCGCTTGTGAGCCTCTACACAGTCCAAAAACAACGCAATTTCTGAACACTCAGTGCCAAGAAATCCTTCACAGAAAGATGACAGTTGGCGGAAAGAATGGCTGTCGGTTTCTTACCGTTCGTATGTATCGTGTTTTCACAAGAGTTTAGTAAGGTCAGGTCCCTCACGTCACCTCCCCTCATAACTCAATAGGACTAGGTTTACTATCATAGAAGCGTTTATCAATCGCCGGAAATCTTAGCCAATCCCACTGGACACTGGATCCATACCCATATGGGGCCCTCCTGACTGGCCACTCCCTCTGAAATCCACAATAACATTGGGCTGCGGCCATGGTTATGTATTAATGCTTTTCACTAACAGAAATACAATTTCAACCAGCACAATGCACGCCGCCACAACAGTCCGATGTCCGACCAACGTCCCTGATATCGACTAGCACTCGGCCGGATGCACATATGCGGAGCCAATCAGTCCGAATGTGACCTGCAGCTTACAATTGCTGTGTCGCATGGCGCATGGCACAGGACGATTCCTAGCAGCTGTCGGCTGGAGTGGAGAAACAGCACGTTGCGACACCGCGCCGGCGACAGAGCTCAGCAGGGCTGGTTGGAGGCTGGAGCCGGAGGTAAGGGCGGACACAGGCACAGACATTGCAGGACAAATAACAGGATGTCAGTTAGGGATATAATTCAAGACGAATGATTCAAGACGGACTGAAATGATGCACATTTTCCTCACTTGGATACCAACTTCAAACTTGACGTTTATAGCACCACGGAAACAATGGCCACACAGGAAAGAAACAAAAGATGAGGTGTTTTCAACTCAAGGAAGTAAATAGAGGTTGCATATGATGGAACAGCCCGAAGTGCAGACAAGCACATATTTTTGGTAATGGCTATCAGCTGTCCTACTCCTCTTCTCCCTTCATCAACTACTGGACACATCTGAAGCATCATCTAATATAGGTAGCACCAATGTCCATAACAAAAGCTTGCAAAGTGCCAGGGGAAATATGCCTACATCATGCATGACAAAGGAAGCTTATGTAAAGAGAAGAGTTGGCAAAAGCATTTCATAGTTAAAATTATTCAGAACTGCACACAGGGCAAACATAAAAAGCAGCAAGTGTGCTGTTCTGTCATGCTAAGAAATAGTCCAAAACAAAATACATCTTTTCATGTTTGAACTGGTTGCTCTTCTATGCCACTTCATCCATATCTTGATTACAGATGGGCTGTTGCTGTAGGCTGATCAAGTGACACTTGATTGCCTTTGTGCGAGTTTCAGTTGCAGCCTCCTGGGTACTGCACTGGAAAACAGATTGAATTGAATGCCTCTGAAAGATAGGAATACAGGCAAAGTTAGCTGTAGTAGTGTCAATGATAATAGACATGACATTTTTGTCCTTTGACATACATTTGTTGAAGTACACTACAAAAAGGTACAAAATAAATTGGTTTGTTTCAAGACACTCACACTGCACAAAGCCGCACAGACATTTCACAGAGATATGACATTGGTACACATAAAACTTGATGATTAAAAAGGTCAAAACTCGCAATAATAATTGAAGTAAAAGTTACAATCACAATCATTTGATTTAAAATGACTTGACATAAGTCACAAGACGCAACGCTCCTATTCACTTAAGAAAGGTTTTTATGCTTTCATTATCCTCCACATATCAACCAGCTTGATACCAGGCTGTGCAATAGTGTGTACATAACCCCATGTTGCCATTTTATTAGAGCAAGTGGGGTTACAACAACAATGCTAATGTCAAACCCACATCTGCAACCCGTACTGCAGTTTCAATCACCTTACAAGCACACCTTCTGGCAGTTTGATAGGCAGAATGGTCATTACTACTTTATCCTCATATTCAACACATATTCCCTTTATACAGATATAGTTTAGACCTGGTTATGGCAAGCATTTTCGAGAAAAGATATGAATAAAGTCCAAGACAAAGGTCGAGAGAAACAACACCAACATAAAACACCGACTATGTAGCACTAATACTGTCATATTAATAAAAATATATACATGAGTCGATCAGAAATTCACTGTAGATTTCGAAAATGGTGTCAAATGCCGCTCAAATGCCTCCATTCGCATGTACGAAGCAATAAAACACTGACCTTCAATTCCGCGTGCCATTCTCCATAGGCCACTGTGTATTAAATAACGCATTCACCGATAGCAAAAAATGAGACCCACATATGACGCGTTTGCTACCAGCCAATCAGCGCTCGAGATGCCGAACGCTGATTGGTGGAGAGGGCCGTCGTTAGCAGTCCATTACACGTTGTTTTCTTTGAACATGTGCGTGAGCGCTGATGCTGCTCACGGGTTGTTGCCATTTTTCGTAATGCTGAAGGCACGGGAGCGAACCCCCCTGCCCGCACCCCACACACCACGCATATTTACGTCTGGACAACGAGTTGCGTTGGAGAGGCCGGAAATAGTGGCGATTTCAGGACCGCAAGAATGGACCGTCATTGGAATGATTCTTTTTTAAACCGTGCACTGTTTTCGGCCGGAATTTAATAGTTGATACAAAATATTTTGTAATTACGTTGTCACCAAGAATGAATGCAATCAGGGCTAAATTTTTAATACTATTGCATTTTGTCAAGAAGCATATAGTGCTGTTATGTTGCAGTTTTAGCGCGTTTGTTACAAAATATGAAGCGAATAAGCGTCAGTGTAATTCATCAACAGTGCCAGAAGTTAACTTGATGGAAAGATATGCTAATTGCTCTTGTCCATCCACTAAAATTTATTAAATATTTTGCTTTGTGTATTCCAAAAGGAGAGGGAACCATTTCATTTGTGCCTTCATGTCAGAATTGAAGGTGGATCATTAAATTTTCAACGCAGTTTACAAACAAGCATTTCAATTTGGTCTTTCTCGTTTATAAGCAGTGGCTAAGAAAAGGTTGATCAATCCTGAAGTTCAGTCATCGTACCTCAACTTGGCAGCAAGATTCCCCAAGGACAGAGGATATATTGTATACATGTCCTGTAAATCAAAACAAACAAGCATTTGGTCTTTCTCGTATATAAGCAGTGGC